TTGTCATTTATGCATAGATTCGAATTGGTTTTTAAAAATCTTGTACCCATAAGAGATTACTTTTTATCTAGTCAAAAAAAAAAGAGAAAGAAAATGTTTAAAAATTTATGGACCGAATTTCTCAAGATGACCTTGGTTAGGTGCTGTCTAGAGCAGGCCTTTCCCGCCAGTGTAATGGATTCTAGGTTTCAGGATTAGCGGTTTGAGCCAAGACCTAAGGCCCACAGCCTCTGAGTGGTTGTGAACAGTCATACTGATGATGTTCTTTGTGTGCCGTACAAAAATAGCCTGTTCTGCGGGAATCTTGGTATAAAAAAGGTTGAGAGGCACTGGTCTAGAGGGTATTCTGATTCCTTCAACCCTTAACTTTCTATTTCACAGCTCGCGTTTGAATCTTTGGCTGTGATTGGAAATGCTCTAACCCTCCTGGAAGTGGGTCAGATCGCGGTGTGCAGGTATGGGTGCCTTTTAATCCCACTGTGAAAACCAACCTCCCTTTGTTATTTTGATCACACAACAAAAAATAACTCCCACTGTATTTGGTTTTTCTCCCCCAAGTTTTGGAGAGTCTGTAAAGCTATTACACCCCTTCCATGAACAGTTCGGCGATTACTCGGGGTCCCAGATTCTGCGGCTCTGCAAATTTCAACAAAAGAAAACCAAGATTGCTCAGGTATGCTGATGACATCAGGTATCTTCTGCACAGTTATTAAGGTGGTGTAGGAGAGAGAATTTTTAAAACTCCCTCCTCTCCAATATTGTATTAGGACAGGTAAAATTTACAATATAGAATAGTCCTAAACCTCAGCCTGTGTGCCACTGGAGTAGAAACTTCCTTGGCATCCCTTAGTAAATAGGGTATGACCTCTTTTTCTTAGTTCCTCAAAGATCATTTAACTTTACATCATTGATTTTCTGGCTCCCTATTTTTCTGAGAGGTTTGGAACATTTTGCAAAAACAAGCCATCTCCAGTACCCTTATCAGGTGGGTCAAGGGCAATTTCTCTCCCCCCTTTTGCCTAGAGAAGAAATGATGTAAAATAAAGCCAATGACTTGCTCATGATGACATAAGTTCAAAACACAGCATGGGATAATAATTCCTGTCCGCTTGATTCCTGCGCTAATTTAGCCTCTTTATGTTGCACTGGACATTTTGTGGTTTTTTGCTTTCTTTTTTTGCTCAATTATTTTCTTATCTTGAAAGATGGCTGCTTGGTTCATTTGAGGGAGTTACTGACTTCTTATCCCCTAGGGGAAGTACTTCTTTTCCTTTGGGGTGTCTTGCAGAATGCTAGTGGTGTGTATGCCAGAGACACATGTCTTGTCTGTCTTGAGAATGCCAGCACTCTAGGGTAAACGCCACGCAGTGCGAGGATCCGTGGTCCTTCACCTACAGGTGTCTGGAAGGGAGGCTTTGATTGCCTACAGATCTGAGATGGTTATCTTATCACTCAAATGTCAGAAGTAATTTCAGCCTCGATGGCAATGAGAATGGAGGTTAATAAATAGTTTTCTAATTGTCTCGCTCTGGTTCTGGTTTAGTTTCTAGAGTCTGCAGCAAACATGTTTGCAGCCGCTCAGCAACTCTCACACAACATCACTCCAGGTGAGCTGCATTCTCATCTTTATCAACAAAACGCTTTTCTCTTCTCTACACTCGCAAGCTGCTTGTTTCATCTCACTGTTCCCATGACCACATTTTATAGTGTGTGCTATACAGGAAAAGACAGACAGGAGATGGAGAGCTATTGAGCATTTATGGAATTTTTTAATCAACCATTTATAAATTCATTCAAAAATTTTTAGTGAACCCATACTCCTGAGGCTTTATAAATCAATGGAGGAATTAGACACTAATGAACTAGTTTGTAATTAACTAGTAGATACTTGATAGATTGAGTTCAGAGTTGTGAAAGAAAGGAGCAAAGTGTGTGGAATTAAGTATAAAGAACATTCTGTAATATTTCAATGACAGAGGAAAGCAGAGGACAACGTAATTCAGAAACCAGCTAATACAACCAGGACTGATTTGGGGCTTGAAACACAGTACTTCTTTTCTAGCTCTTTCCAAAGTCTCTCAATCCTGATTGTGTCATGGAGAAACTTCCTGTTTGAAGCAAGTCACTCGCACCTCTCAACGCTGCTAACCTTGCTTGACAGACGGCCCGCCCTCAAGCACTGCAGTCTTTCACTAGAAACGTTTGATAGCTAAAATTTAAAGATTTTTTATTCACTTTATTTTAATGGTCTCTTCTCTTTTAGTTTTTGCTTAAATGAGTCAATTTCAAGAAAGAAACCCAGAAATTAGGTATAAGCAATTGGCAGAAATCTGAAGGAGCTAGACGATGACTGACATTTGGAAGACAGTCCCAGGTTTCTGACTTGGGCTCTTCCTTCTAAAGGCCTACTCGGTGCTGCCGTTTTTATACTTTGTAGCCATCAGCATGTTTTAATTCTCCTATGTTGCTCTACAACGCAGTTGATCTAGATGTGACATTCCCTGGAGCACTGGAGGGAAATTATTTTACTGACAGAAGGAAGCTACGTATGTCTTCGTGCAGCCTTGTCTCTGACTCGGGCATCGGAAATCAGATCTGACTAGAGACCACTTTTGCTTGTGCCTTGAATTCATCACTTTCAGAGATGTTTGGTTTAGAAAGCCTGAAGTAATTTGTCTTATATAGTTTCGAGTTGTTGTTAAAAATGGATTTTTGTTGTTCCTTCCTTCCTCTCTTGTTGTATGTTCTACTGCAGAAACTGCACAGCTCCTCCTGGTGGTCTCTGATGGACGTGGCCTTTTCCTCGAGGGCAAAGACAGAGTCCTAGCAGCAGTCCAGGCTGCCCGGAATGCTAACATCTTTGTCATTTTTGTTGTGTTGGACAATCCCAGTTCACGGGTGAGCGACTACTAAAAGCCACTTTTCTGGGGATAAAGTAGGGATTACCTTCAGCCTTTTCTATCTGAAATATGGCCTGGCTCACACCATCATACCCAGACCTCTGAACATTCACGGTTTTCAGTCCAGACAGTGTTCTAGGCACTCCCTAAGTATTTCCACATTTAACCTTGCGGTAATCGAGTGAGGTAGGGATCGCTATTCTCACTTCACGGTGAAGGACAGAAACCCAGAGAGGTTGTTGGTAGTGAGCGCGAAGGCCAGGACTCAGACTGACTGCAGAGATCATCTCTTAACCACTCTTCTGCCAGCTCTCACACTGGGGGGTCATTGCTTCCCTCTGCACAGTGTCAGTGCAGGTCCTGTGGCCGTGACACGGGCCTTGTCCACCTGGAAACATAGACCAGCCCTTTCCAGTTGTATCTCCACAGTGCCCTCCTCAGAGCAGGAAGTGTCTGTCGCTAAGGGAAAGATGCTCACCGGGCAGTTCTTGGCAGGGGAAGCACTGTCTCCACAGGTGACACTAAGGCCTGGATAGCCAGTTGAAGATTTAATGTGAATTACTGCAAGTAGAGAATGGGAGACAGTATTGTGGGGAAATCAGGTTTTCCTGTCTAGCCCTTTCTGTGTCCATTCTCCTGGAAGGGGTGCTCAGAGAACTGCCTCTTCCTTAAGGAGACTTCTGAAAATTCTCTTTTACTTACTAATAAAAGGTAGTTTTATATGCAGGAATTAAGACACAGGAGACCTAAAAATTGTCAGCAAAAGAAATCAGCATGAGGGACTAGCCCAGTGGTATATGGTTAAGTTCGCCCGCTCTACTTCAGTGGCTCAGGGTTCACAGGTTTGGATCCCAGGCACGGACGTACACACTGCTTATCAAGCCATGCTGTGGCAGTGTCCCACATACAAAGATAGAGGAAGACTGGCACAGATCTTAGCTCAGTGCCAATCTTCCTCACCAAAAAAAGAGAGAGATCATGGAAGAGTGAGCCAAGGACACTGATTTAGTTTTACTTTCTGTTACAAAATGTCTTCTGTTAACAGGATTCTATCTTGGACATTAAAGTACCAATATTTAAAGGACCTGGAGAGATGCCGGAAATCCGATCCTACATGGAAGAGTTCCCATTCCCATTCTATATAATTCTTCGCGATGTGAATGCGCTTCCTGAGACGCTCAGCGATGCCCTCAGGCAGTGGTTTGAGTTGGTGACGGCCTCTGACCACCCATAGAACAGAAAGAACACAGTCCAAAGCGAGAGACTTTAAACCACGGTCAGGATGTCATGCTTCCTGCCCAGGTGCTCTCTTTTGGACAACTGTTTCTGAACTTGCAGCTCTGAAATATATCCTTTTATCTTAGATCTGATGTATAAAAATCAGCTACAAGAAATTTTATTGCAATGTATATTTTATTTTACAATATGATTTCAGAGCCTGGAGAAAGCTCTCAGGCTCCTGCTTTGCCTGGGCTGCAGTTCTTGTAGCAAACCTGGGGCAGCGAAGGAGCAGCGGGTGAATGGTCTCATCCCTGGGTGAGAGCTGCCCGTCCACCCTGTCTTGAAAGCCCAGCCCTGGGAAGAGGCCACACCTCCCCCTTGGGGCCACGCCGCCTGCTTCCCCTCACAGGGACCCTGGACGCCTGCCTTGAGGAGAGGCTGCCAGGCGCACGCCAGTTCTGTGGACAAAGGAGTAAAGGGAGCTGCCCTTTGAACCTGCTCTAAGGCTCTGCCTTGCCAAGCCCCCAGTGTGTATGCAAAAGCTGTCAAGTGCCTGAGACAGCTGCCGTTTTCTAAAATGTCTGAGTGTGTGTTTTCTTAATGTGCTTCATGTGAAAGGAACCACATTCTCTTCAAGGGCAGGAAGCTTGTGGTGTGTGTGTTCTCACAAAGCAACCTGACACCAGACATTGGGGGAGCCCAGGTAATGAGAACAGTGATCCTTGTGCTGTATAAAAATGAAGTGGCTTTCAGTGTCCTTCTTCACATTTGCTGCTTCGGGAGACTATGCAATGATGGAAAGATGATTTCCCCTGTTTATTTCATTCTCTCAGTGCCACAGTCATTGTTATTGTAGTAATTTATTTCTTTAGTTCATTTTTTTTCTTAACAGTTAAGAGGAAGAATCATTCTTCACACTGCTTTCAAGCTGGACTGAGCCAGTCTTACTCTGGGAAAGAAATGCTGTGTCCAAAAGAACTAAGTAGCTACATCTGTTTTATTTTTCGTCCAGTCAAAATACATCAATGGTTTTTAGGTAGTTTTTACTTTCCCAGAAAGCAGTGCTTGAATACTTGAAACCGTGTGCTGTGTTCTCTTTAAGTTCTGTCAGAATGTTCTTTTGTAGACCACAGGCCATGATGTAATTGTCTGTCTCCACATCTGTTATCAAGTTACACTGTGAAGTTTGCCACCCTTTTGAGGTGGTCATCAAAGACACAGACTGCTTGTTACTTAACCAAGTGTCCTAAAGCATGTACCTGAGGTTCTGTCACGTCATCCTTTTTTATTCTAAAAAGCTATGCAGCTTATATTCTAAGAACTATTAAAAAAAATTTCCCACCATTGATGTAATTTTTGACCATTCTTGATGGAATGCAACAGAGGAATGTAAAAGGTGTGCTAGGAGGGTGATCTTATGTGCTGGATCAGCCAGCCGTCACTAGTGCATACTATGCCAACGGCCCCAAGATTCAAGTGGCTTACTACAGTGAGGGTTTATTTCTCACTGTGTTCATGTCCATGGAGGGTGAGCTGCAACATACTGGCCTATTGGCAGAGAAAAACAAGCAAGTCGGTAGAAACAAACAATGGCTCATAAAGATTTTGCTCCAAAATGACATGTCTGTTCCACTCACATTTCATTGGCCAAAACGCTGTATGGAGAGCAGGCAGTTAAATCTTCCAGCAGCGTTGGGTCTGGTAGGGAAAGACACCAACATGAGAACAGTGATGCAGTCTATCATATCGACCTTTAATTGACAGGACCATCTAAACTGGAGCTTCCTAACCAGAGTGCCAAGATGGTGATTCCCTTGGCCCTAGGACAGTTCATAGGGTCTGGGACACTAGCAATACCAGTAAGCAGGTACCCAAGAGTGCCAGTCTCAGCTTGTGCTAGGATGGGAAAAGGGTTGGGAAGCATGGGACCAGTTACAGGAGACCTACCAGGAACTGATGGGGTGGGGGGTCAGGTGGACCATGACCTGAGGCAAGAAGCATAACACAGGGGGCCGGCCCTGTGGCCGAGTGGTTAAATTCGCACGCTCCCCTTTGGCGGCCCAGGGTTTTGCTGGTTCGGACCCTGGACACGGACATGACACCGCTCATCAAGCCATGCTGAGGTGGCATCCCACAGGCCACAACTAGAAGGACCCACAACTAAAAATATACAACTATGTACTGGGGGATTTGGGGACAAGAAAGAGGAAAAAAAAGATTGGCAACACATGTTAGCTCAGATGCCAATCTTTAAAAACAAGAAAAGCAGCACGACACACCTGAGTCACTGAGAGGAAGTTACTGAGGATATGCTTGCTCTCTCACTCGGATCTCAACCTTTGTCTCTGCCTTACTTTCCTCTCTGTCTCCAGCTAAACCGCAGTCTGGTCTGGCCTCACTTCTGAACTTTCACCTCATCCTGTCTTCCCCTCTGCTGTCCTCTGGCTGCACTGCAGCTCTTTACTCTGTAGCCCGGACGACTTCTGCAGGATCCCAGACACATCATTTTGCTGGCTTCACTTCATCCTACTCAGAATATCCAAGGACATCTTTCTAAAACTCCTTCAGATGTCCCTGTAGTCAAGACGGTATTATTCATGCTTCTTAGCATGACCTGACTCCGGTCCCTTCTCTCCCAGCATCCCTGCCACACTATTTGATCAGGTCACAGCAAAGCACAGAGGTCCTGGAATGTGCCAGCGTTCCATTCGTACTTTGTCTGGAATTCTCTCATCTACTTTGCTTTTCTGACAAGCAGCTACTTCAGATACGCCCTCCAGGAAGAAGGCGCTCCCACGATATAACCCTGGACATCATCTGTAATACATGTTAGACTTAGATGTCTTCCTGCCCAAAGTGTGAGTCTGGGGACACGGAGTATATATGACTCATGACGGTATTACCAGTGTCTAGAGTGAGTGACTGTTTCTGGATGGGAAGAAGAAATAGTGTAAAAATCTGTTCACACATATTAATTTATAAATTAAACACCATCAAAATTTTAATAAAGACCCTAAGATGATTTGGAGGGAAATGATACAGAGCATTAATAGAAGATTCTTACAAGAAAGCACAGGGGAACAGTTCTGCCAGATAATAAAACATGACAGACGGCAAAATTAAAAACATGATACTAGTCCCAGATGAAATAATTCTGAACAGATTATTCAGACCCTAAAAGAATTTACCATATGGGCATCAGAAAGCCCAGGAAGAGTAATGAATTATTTAATAAATGACGTTGAAATTAGCAGCTGGAAAAGAACTTACATCCACAACATGCCATATACCAAAGTAAATTCTAGATGGAGTAAATATTTTAAAAATTAACAATAAAAAAGTTTTTAAAAAAATTCCAAAGCTCTGAAGGGAAGAAAATGAAAAGCCTCAAAAGAAAAAGAAAAATATGCCTGATGTGCAGGACTTAAAGCTATTCTTATGGGAAAAAGTAAGCAAGCAAACAGCCCATATAAAATGAGAATAAAAGCTTTGATCATCATAAGTGGACCAAAGTCATGACAATTCACAAAATAAATAAGTGGTAAGGGATATTTAACTCTACTATTTAACAAAAAGATCAGAAATGAATTGCTATTGCTAATTAGTAGACAAAACTCGAAGGAAGTCATGGGGTTAGTATCACTTGTACAAGGCCTGGTAATGTTCCAAAACAGCTCATGGTTAGAACGCTTAGATGTGCCAGGTCCTGTTCTCAGTGCATTACACCCAGCAGCAGCAACTGAGGCAGATGCTGTCATCTCACTTCACAGATGAGAAAACAGGCCGCGAGAGAGTAGGGAGCCAGGACACATGCAGGAAAACGGAACAGCAAGGGCTCCAACAAGGGGGCAATCAAGTAAATGTTCAGTAAACAGGAAATTGAAGGACCATTTTTGGCTGTATTTTAATTCGGGACAATCCTATTTGGAAAAGTAATACAGCAAAGATACACTAACCCCACTTACAGTCACAGAACCCAAGGGCATGTGGTGTGTGGTTGGGGAGGGTAAAACAATTACGAGGCAATAAACGCTTAAGGCGTGGGGATGTTCAGTTCCTTGTTCTATTAGTATTTTGTATTAGATACAAAATTCCTAAAACCGCAATGAGGCAGCTATTTAAAACCTTGTAACTAATGACAATCATGAAGACCACCATGCTGGGAAAATGCTTGCGACAGAAAAGAAGATGAACATGAGGAAAAAAAGACAGAGCAGGACGTAAACTTTAAAAGAAACTAACATTTAAGTTTTTAGTATTTTTAACTGTACACATTAAAAAAGCTTATAAGGAATATACTAACTTTGCTCTCACCCCCAAAAAACTTTATTTAATGAAACTTCCAATTAATGAGACCAGGAGCCAGAATTGTGCTGCCTTACCACTGCTATTTGATCATCACAACCGCCCATGCCGCAAGAACTGGTATCCCGTTTCACAGATAGGAAAACAGGCTGAGACACGGGAAACCGCTAAGCCGGGGAGGTCACACCTGCATCCCAGCCCTTGGGCTTCAGTTCCGACTGGCTGCCTAGCTCCCCGGGCCAGAACTCCTCAGGCCGTCTCCCAGGAAACCGAGCTCGCCCCGCCCCCTGGTTACCGCCCACTTCCGCTCCTGCGCACTGGGGCCCTATAGAGGCCGCGCCGTGTGCAGGACATGGCGACTTCCCGCTTACCCCCAGCGACGCTGACGCTAAAGCAGGTACCAGCTGTTCCCGCCGGCCTTCTAGGGCAGCTTCTCGGGGTTTAAACTGAATTGTCCACCTGTCCCTCCACCCAGTCTACGGAGTCGGTCTCGCCGTGACCGGGCCAGGCACAGGGGAGACAGAGCCCTCCCCTGCGCGCACTCCCTTTGTGATTGGCTCGGGCGGGGGGCGGGGCTTCCCGCCGCAGGGGCTGACGGGGGGCGCGGCCTAGGGGGCGGCGGCTGCCGTGCAGGCGTGGGTTTGTGCGGCGGGCGGGCTCTGGATCTCTCAAATCCCTGATGCCGCAGCGGCCCCAGCGCCACGGTGGAGACCGCTCTGGCTGGGTACTGAGCGACGGCAAGGAACGAATGCGACTACCGAAGGATTTTAACCGCGGTCCTTTAGAGAAAGCGCCTTCCCGTGGTTACGGCTTCTAGGAGCCGGTGGCCCTTTTCTGCCCGCTAGTCAGCTGATTTTCAGGCTTCTTAGGTTTGACAAGGGTGTAAGCAAACAGCCCAGATAAACTTCTTGCCCTTTGCTTAAAAAAAAAAGTGGAGTTTTTTGCCCTTTTCAAAACTGAGGACCCAAGGGAAGTCATCTGTTGACAGTGTGGTTTGCTGAAGCAGAGCCCTCGGGCAGTGAGCTGTGCAGTTACAACTGCCATTTCTCCCCGTGCGCAGTTCATGAGAAGGCAGCAAGTTCTCCTGCTCTACAGAAGGATTCTGCAAGCAATTCGGCAGGTGCCGAATGATTCTGATCGCCAGTACTTGAAGGACTGGGCAAGGGAAGAATTCAAAAGAAACAAAAGTGCCACCGAAGAGGTGAGGACAGGTCCTGGCCCTTTTGCACTGATTGATGAATTTTTTAGAAAGTTTGGTAGACCTCTTGGAATATAAATGTCACTGAGATGGTATATCTCCATCATTGCTCTTAAGTTACCGATTTTCCACTCGTGATGTTTTACGTTTTACAGTCTTTGCTGTTTCTGCCCTCTAGGTAGCATCAGGTGAGTCTTCTGTTAAACCACACATAGACACACACACAGGAGAAGATTATAAATATTACATCATGATGGTTCGGGAAGTTCCATGCTGGGGGTGTACGAAAGCATGCCAGACGTTGCGTACCCCTATCTGTCAGCTTGTGGCTTTCCTAATATGTGGCAGTTCCAATTCTCAGTACTGGTTTCCCCGGCTATGTGAAAGCAGAGGGTTCCTATGAAACTCTTCATAAGCCGAAATGGCATAAAGCGAAGAAGCAAATTACCATTAATTTACATAGGAAAAACTTTTGAGCATTCCTAGACCCAAAAAAATCCATCAAATCATACCAAATAACACAGAAAACCTAAAATAACACTAACATATAGTAAAAGCAGGAATGATATGATAAATACACAGCCTATATAAAATAGAAATAATGTAGGCACAGCGTGGTTTCACTTACCAGAATTTGGAAGACAGCCAGGACACTGGGAGGCTGAGAGGTGGTGGTGATGATGATGGGGTGTCAGGCGGAGTGGTCAGAGACTGGGTGTAGGAGAGAGAGGAACAGGGTCATTTATTAACATCTCATCATCATCTGAATCCATCAGGGCAGGCAGGTCACTAACGTCTACACCTTCTTCTGCCTGCCTCGGTGTCAAAGGTCTGCTGTGGCTGATGTGACAGGCTTGCAATACACAGTGGGCTTGAGTGCTGAGCCTCTGGAATGGCTCACTGCAAAACAAGTGCTGACCGCTGTTTTTGCTTTTCGCCTTTTTCATAAAAGCTGAAATCCTCTTTAGATTTCTTTCAGTTAGTGAAAACAGGTACTAATGTAGGTCTTTCGTAAAAGTGAGGTGGCACAAAGAGAAATTTCAGGGGGCAAAGCAGGGGGAACCTGTATTGGTTCTTGCCTAACAAATAAAATGATAGAGCTGTACCTCGTTTAACCAGGTAAAACAGTGACCAGAGTTCACTTTCTCCTACAGGACGCAATCCGGATGATGATTACTCAAGGCAATATGCAGCTCAAGGAGTTAGAAAAAACACTTGCCTTAGCCAAATCTTAACTATAGCATTATTTGACAGATTTTCAAAGCCTCCATGTGTTTTGTTGAACTAGAGCTCAACCAAGGGCAGCCCAAAGCCAAGTCAGACTGTTTGTATGTACAGTACTTGGCACAGTATCAGGACGTGGAGCATGGCGTGTCAGAGAGAGCGAAGAAATGAGCACCAGAACAACTGCTTAGCACTGAAAACCACACCCCGTATTTTTGAAGACGTTTCTGGATGTTTCAGCAGTTCTTTTAAGAAGCGAAAACCAGTACAACAAATGGTCAATTAACACGTAAACAGATGCTCAACACCATTACCATCAGGGACATGGAAATGAAAACCACCATGAGATACTGCTTCTCGTCACGAGAATGGCTGCCTTTAAAAAGAGAGATAATAACAAATGTTGGGGAAGAGACAGAGAAACTGGAACCCTCATACACTGCCGGTGGGAATATAAAATGGTGCAGCCATCTTAGAAAACAGACTGTCAGTTGTTCAAAAGGTTAAACATAGTTACCATATGATTCAGCAATTCTGGCCCTAGGTTTATAACCACGAGAGCTGCAAGCATGTCTGTAAAAAACTTGTACACGAATGTTCACAGCAGCATTATGCATAATAGCCAAAAAGTAGAAACAATCCAGCTGCCCATTGTCTGATAATGGTTAAATTAAATGTGGTATATCCATACAATAAAGTATTAATGAAAAGTAACGAAATACTAATACATGCTACACATGGGTGAACCTTGAAACCAGTCACAAAAGATCATATATTGTATGATTCCGTTTACATGAAATGTCTAAAATAGGCAGAAAGATCAGTGGTTGTGTAGGATTGTGGATGGCATGGAGACTAATTGCTAATGGATATGGGGTTTCTTTTCTGAGTGATGAAAATATTCTAAAGTTAGATTGTGGTGTTGGTTGCACAACTCTGTGACTATACTAACATCCACGGAATCGTACATTTTACATGTACAGCATGTGAATTATATCTCAATAAAGCTGGGTTTCTTCTTAGTTGTTTTTGACATATAACATTGTGTAAGCCAATAAAGCTATTTTTAAAAACTGTATGAGATATGTACAGATGGCCAATAGACACATGAAAAGATGCTCATCATCACTAATCATCAGGGAAATGCAAATCAAAACTACACTAAGATATCACCTTACACCTGTTAGAATGGCAAAAATATCCAAAACCAAGAGTGACAAATGTTGGAGAGGCTGTGGAGAAAAAGGAACCCTCATACACTGTTGGGAATGCAAACTGGTGCAGCCACTATGGAAAACAGTATGGAGATTTCTCAAAAAGTTAAAAATAGAAATACCTTATGACCCAGCCATCCCACTACTGGGTATCTATCCTAAGAACCTGAAATCAGCAACTGCAAAAGTCCCATGCACCCCTATGTTCATCACAGCATTATTCACAATAGCCAAGTCATGGAACCAACCTAAGTGCCCAGCAACTGATGATTGGATAAAGAAGATATGGTGTATATATATACAATGGAATACTACTCAGCCATAAAAAGGGACAAAGTCGTCCCATTCACGACAACATGGATAGACCTTGAGGGTATTATGTTGAGTGAAATAAGCCAGACAGAGAAAGACGAACTCTGTATGACTGCACTCATAGGTGGTAGTTAACATAGAGACAAAGAGAACTGATCGGTGGTTACCAGGGGAAGGGGGGGGGGTGGGGGGAGAGCACTAAGGGTGAAGCGGTGTACCTACAACATGACTAATAATAATGTACAACTGTAATTTCACAAGGTTGTAAGCTATCATAATCAATAAAAAAATTTTAAAAAAAACTGTATGAGATGTAGGATTGGAGGCATACTGTCCTCAGGAGATACCCTGGAACTTTCTTGAAAAATCCTTCTGCATTACCCCTCATTGTTGAAGTATGTTCTTCAGGTGTATCAGGATCTGATACTCAGGACTCTCCGAAAACATCACCATGGGGAATGTAGATCTGTTGGAAAGAAAGGAGAAAGAGAAGCGTAATGACCACATTGAAGCACTTACCAAAAAGAAGAGGCAACTTCTGGATAAAACTAATGCAATTACCTTAACATCCACATAGAAAGAAGTAAAGTACATCAATAGGGATGATCTTCAGTGCATTAGGTTCTCCTCCAGGGACAGGAAAAAACAAAGAGTTTGAAGAATACATCGGAGACAGAAGTTGACTTCAGGACACATTTGCAAGAGACCAGATGTATGACGCTGTTAATTTAGTGAAAGTGACAGCCTGTGGAAGAGGCTGGGGCTGGCCGTCCTACAGACAGAAGGCCTCTTGTCTATTTACGGAACGGATCTAAAAAGCTACCAAGAATCTGAGCAGCACCTGAAAGATGTAGGGAAAAATTTGCAGAATGATAAATGGGAGGTAGTACTGGACTGGGTGCCAGAGGAGAGGCGTAAGCTGATGGTGGCGTGTGTCAATGATCTGCATCGCCAGGGTCCACCCCCACCCCACAGCCTCAGAGCCCACAGGACAAAATAATTCCGAATACTCTTCCACAGGGTAATATACTAATTCAAAATGCTTGCATGAGCCAATTTCCTGATTTTTATATAGATGTACATTAGTCAACCTGATGCAAAGCCATCTGATAAACAGAAGCAGCATTTGTGAAGTTTCTAAACACAGAATACTTTTGTGTAGCATGATTGACATACATATTCAAGTATAGGCCGTCTCCATTAAATCGAAAATCTTGAAGCTAAAAGTCATCCTTTTATGAGGTGTGGAAGTCAGTGACTTGGTGACGTTCTTCCTAGCAGTGATGTACGTGGAAAGCATAAGACCATTTGCGGTTTTAATTTGCAAGGTCAGTTTGGTTTGAGATGCAAAAACCAGACTCCAGGAAAACCTAACTTGGGGTTTGTTTTTGTTATTCTGTTTTTTAAAGTGGGTAAAACCCTGAAAATTGAACTTTCATCTTCCAGAGGTTAACATTATTCTAACAGGCAAGCTTTTCCCTTCATCTCTAGAGAACGGTTTACTTGTTCACTTATCACAAGTCACTGCTTTGAGGAGCCCTTCAGAATACAGGCCAAGGCTGTTTAGCTTGAGATTTACTTAGCAGTTCTTCTCACACATGGAACCACGGTCATTAAGATGGAGGCCAGGATAGAACTCCTGGTGAAACATTTTACTCATCGTCTTTATGAGTATTCTGGACTAGACAACAAATTACCCTTCTGTGTGTTCCCTGTAAACGATCCTATACTCTCGTTTGAATATTCAAGCTTTGTTCCTAAAGTTTAAGATGTTGGAATGTTCAGTTTATATATTTGAACTACAATAAATCAGTCTTGTTTTATTAAAAAGTATTTTTAATACAAAAGCTTACTAGCAGGGGCCGGCCCTGTCACCGAGTGGTTAAGTTCATGCACTCTGCTTCTCGGCCCAGGGTTTCACTGGTTCGAATCCTGGGCGCAGACATGGCACTGCTCGTCAGGCCATGCTGAGGTGGTATCTCACATGTCACAACCAGAGGCGCTTACAACTAGAATATACAACTATGTACTGGGGAGCTTTGGGGAGAAGAAGAAGGGAAAAAAAGAAGATTGGCAACAGATGTTAGCTCAAGTGCCAATGTTAAAAAAAAAAAAGTTAAAAAAAGCTTACTAGGGACCAGCCAGGTGGTGCAGTGGTTAAGTGCACGCATTCCACTTCAGTGGCCCGGGTTTCACTGGTTCGGATCCAGGGTGTGGACATGGCACCGCTTGGCAAGCCATGCTGTGGTAGGCATCCCACATACAAAGTAGAGGAAGATGGGCACGGATGTTAGCTCAGGGCCAGTCTTCCTCAGCAAAAAGAGGAGGATTAGCTCAGGGCCTAATCTTCCTCAAAAAAAAAAAAAAAAAAGCTTACTATTATATGAGAAGTGACTATTATTTAACATGTTGACTGCCCCTATGTCATTTCCTCTTAAATGTTCCATCGGGTTGGAAGTTTTAAATTCATGGCACAGGCATTGCTGTGGCTGTGCCTGCAGAGATGGAACAGATGACTTCCTATTATTTGAGGAAAGCAGAACCTCTTTCCTATTTGTGTTATTGTATTCACATCAGCAGACGCTCAGGAGAGGCTGAGAGGCAAACCCATGCTTACGGAAATTCACTCTGTCTTTTGTGGAATAGTAAGGAAAATGCTAGAAAAAACAAATGGAAACAGTCACATCTACCTTGAAAAAAATTGGGATTATGTAGAATAAGGTCCAAACAGGATCAAAAGCAAATTGTCACTCTTTACCAAACCACCACAGGCTATTTCCTTCCTTAAGTCAGACATCTGAGAAATTATATTAGGATTAAATTAAATTTACTATTTTTGTTACTAAGAAGAGTAAATCACTTTTTGCCCACTCTTTTGTATTAAAAAAGTGCTTTACTATGTCGTGGATTTATCTTATGGACTAAATTTTATAGATTTAAATTAATACTTAAATCTTATGGATTTAAATTAATTACATTTATAGTTATATTTGATTTAATATTACAGGAAAAGAATATTTCCCCTTAAAATTACAACTGAAAAAATATTTTTAATACTTTTCTCTTATTCATAAGAGGTATTCCAAAAAGGTCACTTTTTAAAATTGGTTTGTCTTAAGTCTTATTTAATTGATTGACTTTTATATCACAAGAAGAAATGTATGTAGCTTTTAGGAGCAATTTGTTAGTCAAAAAATGTTATCTTGGCTTGCATACAATTATAAGTGATGTTTTGTCTGTTGCCTTTGCACAGTGTTTTCCAAAAGGTCAACAGTTTAAACAAAACACTTGTTTAAGCTTGCAATGAGAAATATTTCATTACAGTTAAAACATTTTTTTTATGCCGGCACCTGATCTCTACTTCAAAGCAGATGTATTTACTCTAGGTTATACTTCTAGAGGAACAAGGTGGAGTGTGGCTGGGTGAAGGCACTCTTTCAGGAACCATAAAATTTGGTCAACTACACACATGAAAATGTAGGCTAAACAAAGTATTCACACTCATTTTTTAAATAAGAAATTTAATATCCATAGTGTTGAGAACCATGTTTAATGCTTGGAAGAGACAAATTCAAAGTGATAAAATACTAAATAAAAGAGAACATACCTCTCAAGAATCAGTGCTTGACTGAAATGAAAAGGTATAAACACAAAAACATCACTTCCTTTATTTGGGCTCCCAAAGTCAAAGGTAAGATTAGAAGTGATACTCAGTCTATCACAGATATTGACTATATTCAATGCACTAACAATTTTTTTAAAAAGACACTGCAATATTGTACAACTTTTCTGTTTCACATCATTTTTCCCACAGCTCAAGTTCCAATCTCATTTCAAATATGACCTACATGACAGCCTACAAATTGTTAATAGTTCTGCTTCTTTGGAAAAGTACTATTGTGGCATTTGCTCATTTTAGTAGACAGCAAAGGGAAAAATACACGTGGAATCCATAGCTGAGTTTTTGACAATGCTAAGGAACAAAAACAGACCAAATACAGTTGTTGAAAATACAAAGCTATTGCATTGGTCTTGCCGATGCGGCCATCTCTTTGGGTTGGGAGGCTGGCTGACCCTGCTCTATTTCCTTGCCTCTATGGTTTTCCCTGCTATGAGAGAGAGAAGATCCATGGAATCTGTCAGACTAGGTGCACTGACCTTTCTCCTTCCTCCCCAAGTCTCTCCCCTACCTGTCACTTTGACCAGAATATCCAGGTCACAGTGATAACCTGCCTGCTTCTGATGGGTAGGAGTTACACCATCAAAATACTTCCTACCAAAGCACTCTATGGTCTAGATAAATTAAAATTTAATTTGTTTTCGGGATTTCTCAACAAGGATATCCCTTGAGGTAACAGGAAGTATTCTGATAAGTGAAAATAAATCCTGCTTGGAACACAACTTCCTGGACATCTTAGGAATTCATCTCTTCTTTGAGTACGACGCAGCTCTCAAGAACTCAGTGTATATTGTGGAACGATTCTAAAGCGGTCAGTAATACCGTGTGTGAAATAGATTTAGAAAACTGATAACTCTGCAATTCTGTGATTCTGCATCAGGAACAAGGAGAGAAATGAGAGAGGAAGGTGCCTCTACATGTAGCAATCCAATGGGGGTCTCTGGGGAAGAACCGTCTACCTACTCAGCAGTTGAGAACAGGACAGGCTTACAAAACTGAAAACTTGAGAGAACATCAGATTAATTCCCTGCCCAGGTTCTGTAATGGTGACATACATCCACATTTACTAGGAATGCCTATCTCCATGGACTGTCACTATTAAAATCACAAAACAAAAACAACTATGAACTTGACAGGCAAAAAACAAAGGGCCTACAGCATACTCTGTTTTGCTGGGTGTTTCTATGTCAAGAAGTCAAGATTCTCTCTTTGGCTCAATGAGCAACATTTTATTCCAAATTATAGACAATAGTTACTCAGTTCCTGTGTTTATAGAAATAGAACTGAGGTTTCTATGCAGACATGGAATTTTGAGATGACTATAATCCCACATTCCAAGGGCCAAGAAGCTTAGAAAATAATTAAATCCAAAGTTTCAACACACCCAAGCTACCTGCAAAACTGTGTATGCTCCACAAGGCAGAGTAAAATCCTGAGGGCTCCACGCGGCTGGGGAATTGTGGGGTCTAAATCAAATTACTGAGTTATTTACCTTGACATAGGCACTGCAAAGCAGTGGAAAGCTTTTGAGGCTCTTCAATGACAGAATTCAATTAAAAATAAAATACTTTCATTTCTTTATAAAATGTAGACCAATAAGCTCAAATTCAGAAAGGTACTCTAAGATAATTGGGTTTGAATACAAATAGGTTATAGAAGTTTCCGGTAATTGCTATGTGAATGTTTTTCCATTGATCTTTTTAAAATCACTAGGATTAATCAACCGTAATATTTCTATACTTTGGCTAAAAATACAGAAACCATGGTCAAATGATGTGACCCTTTCTCATTTGAGTTCATTACTAACAAACATTCCCGGTGCTGTTGGCCAGTTACTCATTACTTAAATACACTCTGACGTTGCAAAACATTTTAAGATATAAAGGATCCTGGGATATCATGAAAATCTCTTTCTCCTCAAAATCTGTTTGATAAGTTTCCACCTGGTTGAAATGTTGGCTTTTGAGAGTCATGAATTTGAGAGAGGGCTGAGCGTGCATCTCAGTGACGGCTCTCCGGCAGAGGCCACTTGTCTAGGCACAGCAGGTGTGTTTATACGAACGAATACTTGATTGGAGTTCACGAGGGGTTAACCTTTCTCTTGCTTTTGATTTATATTACTTCGCACATCCTGAATTTTAGGGTCCCGGCTTACATATCACTCAGTTTCTTAGCGTGGCTCGCTTCATCTGAGCTGTTGCACTTCAGATGAACCTGGACTGAGGTTTTGAGTTTGTCGTGCAACCTGAAACTAAGCAAGCCAACCCTGGTTTCAGTTTAATTGTTGAAGTCTTCATAACTTCAGAGCATAGGAAGTGTGTGTCTGGCACATTTTAGAAATTAGTGATTTTTTTTTAAAGGCAAGTCTGCTATGTGCACAATAATTGACACCCTGGGCATAGCTACTCCGCGGTTGCAAAACTGGAAATCCCCAAGGATGCCTTCAGGTGCCCTTTCCTGGCCCTAATTTTCCTTCTGCACCTTCGTCCTCAGTTTAGCAAGTTCCTCTTCTAAACTTTTAATATGTTCCTTCAGCGTGGCCTTGTCTTGCTGGGCTTTCTGACTGGCTTGGCTTCGTGCTTCTTCAATCTTCCTCTCATACCACTTTTCCATCTGGGTGGAAACAGCCTCAAAAAAATACTGGGTAATCTCGAGAGCTTGGGAGGTGTCTCGAAGGTGCGGGGCAGTCTGCTCACTGCCTGCTGCTGGTGGCGGCCCACAGCTGGCGGCGGGTGCTGGCTGCTGGGCTCGATGCCTTGTCTGCCCACTCTTCCCAGATTTCTTGGTTTGGGTGCCTCTGTCGACGCAGGGCCCAGCCTGCTGATCACATTTGGCTGCCTCTTTCAAGGGTAGCAAGGCTGTCTGCACCTTGACATTCCTCAGTCGGGAGCCTGTACAGTCCGAGGAAGACAGCTCTTGCTGGAGTCTGTGGGTAGCAGTGGCGTTGAGGGCCTTCTCCTTGGGCCTAACCACCTGGGGGGAAGTGTCAGAAGCTGCTACTGGACCTGCAGTCACCACTGATTGGTCCACACCTGCTTTCAGAAGAAAAACTCAAGTCAGAGCAAATCCACATTCACACAGTCATGTGCCTGTGGGTCAGCATTTGAGAGTCCTGGGAATCCTGTAAACCACCAACCACCACGTGCAACTCCTCCTCTGCCCTTCCCTTCCAGTTCTCCCCTGATTATCATTTTGGCTTGTCAGGGCTTTCATGGATACTGTATTAACCATACTGGTAGCATCTAAGCCAAAAACGTGCTGGCCTTTCCTTTAGCCCATCTCAATCTACCCTAGAAGGCTCTGGGTACCATTTTCTGGTTGCTCAGGATGACACAGCTCACCAAGAGTCTCAAAACAGAATTGGGCATTTTGTCAATGAGAATGAATATCCCCAATCTCTTAATTTCTGGGCCCTTCCACACCATAGCTGCAGTTCCTAGTTCTTTGACCCAGCCTCCACTTTGGAGAGGTGGTCCTATTCCCCATACCCAGAGCTCCAGCCAAGCTCCATACCTAGTCCTAGCATGAAAAATTTGCCTAGGATTTTCCCCAATGTTATGGGCACAAAGAAAATAAAACCACAGTGCCGGAGATGGTCTGTAGTAACATGAAACACTTGACATAACAAATCCCCAAGGAGGCCTAATTACTAAGGTTCTACATGTCCTCAACATTATCATCATCAAGTGTAATCACTGTGGCTAATGTAAAGATGCTTTTCTGGAAGCATCTCTTACCTAGCACCCGGGGCAGCTTAAATATACAAATGCTCTTTAATGAGGTTTTACAGAGTTGGACCAAGGTAAAAGGCTGATCAAGGAAGAGAAAGGGGAAGGAAGGAGGTGCAAGGTCAAGGGTGAGAGCCCTGCTCAGGAGACAGATGTCCATCCATCACCCTCATCTTTGGGGTCCACTCTGACACCATCAACAAGTCTTTTATTCCTGCATTCAAATACTTTGAAGACTTAAATAGGAATGCTTCATTGCTGTACAGGAACTGAGTGTTCAGTAGTGAGCATAGCATGGTCCTTGCCCCTACAACCCAGTGCCTTCCACAGCCCTATCATACTGGCTCCCTCCGGTACAGGAGAGAGCAAGATCTGGGGGTCTCATCACCTTGGGGTGGAATGGCCCTCTCTGCACAGGGGTTACCTGTGGAGGATTCACAAGTGGATGGTGTGGATTTAGTCCTAGAGGCCCTGGAATCTCCAGAAAGCTTCAGCTCCAGATTCTGAATCTTTAACATGCACCAGGTTTTTAATTCATCCACCAAGGACATCTAAAAAACACACAAAGTAATCAGGTGAATTTCATGTATGGTTTATGAATGAAAGCATCCAGAATGGACTTTTCAATCATGATCGTTGAGGAGATCACACCCAACAGTTGTGATTACCCACCTCCCACAGCCTACACGACCTTCTCTGCTTGCCCTCCACACACCAGATGGACCCAGCACCCAAGGTGACAGCTATCTATAACCTTCATTAAGTGACCTAGAGCCACGTAAAACTCAAACTCCAAAGCTTCCCAAGTCTTCCAAACCAAGGATTTCTGCTGCCTTAGGAGCATGAACACTGACACACTCACTAGGACCCATTTTACATCCGTTGTTTAGACCATAAACTCCCTGAGGGCAGGAACCAATCTTGTTCAACAACAGATCAGTGGCCCAGCAAACGCACAATACGTAGACCTGACTAAGGGTGGAGAGCACGCCCGCCCCAGCACGTTCTATAAACTGTTCAGTCTCCACCGACTGCCAGCATATTCAGCAACAAACATGAACTGAACTACAGGTTCTTTTCTATTAACTGCACTTCAGAGTCATAAAAATGACATGCTATGTACTGCAAACACTGTTAGGGGATCTCGGCCTGAGTTTTCAGTGATGGGGCTGAGTCTTTTCCCCAGTGGAGACGGGTGGTAAGTCACAGTAAGGAAGGACAGATACTGATCGTCACCTGTCGTTTCTCTCCCTCCTGCTTCTCCGTGTCTGAGTGCAGCTGCAGGCGGTTCAGGCACTCCGTCCTCTCTGCCGAGAGTCGCTCAACCATCAGCTTGTCCAGAACACGCATCTAGGATGCAACGGGCACAGAGCGCATGGCTGAGATGATCTAAAGATGGGCCCTGGTCTCTCAACTCCTGAGGAGAGGTTCAGGGGGGCCACGCAGGGACCAGAGAGAAGACAGGCAAACCTCCACTCCTCTTTGTGTTCCCATACAGTATTCATGGAACTCTAGGTTTTCAGAATTCCAGAGCATGTTGCTACGTAGGCCCATGTTTCTTTCTTTTTCTCACTTGTTAAAGTCCTAAGGGGTTTAAGAGACTATGAATATGCCTGAGCCAATGCAGACCTTGTAGGTAAAAGAATTTTTATAGATCTCAGAACATTATTTCCAAGACTATTATTGAAAGGAAAAACTACTTCTAAAAGTATGGAGCTCTTCTTCCCCTTTCCAATGAATGGTTTGTCCCTCCTCCCCCCGATGTTAGAGGCTGTGGAAGAGGCGGCGAAAGGAGCTGATACTCGGGTATTTCACGCAGCTCTCCCAGCGACCAGCCCTCAGTGCTGCACGGAAAGCGGGCAGAGCGAGAGTGAGGACGGCAGTGGGAGGAGGTCACGGGGAGCGCTGCATCCAGAGCACAAATGACTGTCCCCTCTTAGTCACAGCCCTCCCGGGACCCCCTTCATCTGGACATTTCCTGTAGGGCCCAACACCCAGCAGGGCTGAACTTCCACTGCTTTGACAAGGCCCACAGAAGAAAAGGGACTGTTGTTCGTGGGAATCAGCCCACGAGGGCTCACTGGTGAGCTCCTCTCCTGTCAGGGACATTCATGATGTCCCACACTCAGATGTTCAAAAGTTTTTTAAAGCAGCATCCATCCTGAGACGTGGTGAGCACCTCTGCTTTGTCTCTTCAGCCGCCATGTTCTCCTGAGAGCTGCTCTCCCGCTGTTTGCTGGGACTGGCCTGCTCTCCCACCTCCTTATCCATGATAGAGATGCTCTGCCAAGAGCCACCGCGTTGATGCACAGCTTTGTTCCCGGGGCACGCTGACTGGTCCGGGCATGAGCACCTGACTTATGCTGGGCCAGAGTCCTTTCCCTGTGATCTGGAATTAGGACTAAGACTCTACACCCCAGTCTGTCACCTTCCTTGAACCCAAGTGAGGTCTGTGAGTCACCCCAGCATTCATCTACCATCCCTCTTTGGGCTTAGGCTAGCTGAAGCGGGTTTTTATTCACAAAACAGTCTTAACTAATATATTATGGCTCTAAGAAGGGATTTCTTAAATGGGCTTTCCACAAAATACAAATAGCAAATAAACCTTAAAAATGTTCAACCTAGGGGCCGGCCCAGTGGCACAGCAGTTAAGTGCGCACGTTCTGCTGTGGTGGCCCAGGGTTCACCAGTTCAAATCCCAGGTGCGGACATGGCACTGCTTGGCAAGCCATGCTGTGGCAGGCGTCCCACATATAAAGTAAAGGACGATGGGCATGGATGTTAGCTCAGGGCCAGTCTTCCTCAGCAAAAAGAGGAGGATTGGCAGCAGATGTTAGCTCAGGGCCAATCTTCCTCAAAAAAAAAAAAATTTAAAAAAAATGTTCAGCCTCACCAACAAGCAAGGAAAATTAATTAAATGTCCTTAATCAATTTGGCAAAAACTTAAAAAATTACAACATTAATGATGTCAAAGGCTTGAGACAAACTCAGACACTGCTGGTACGATATAACTTGGTACAACCTTTCTATTTATCAAGAGACTTAAACATAGTCTTAACTTTGGACCCAATTATCCTAATTCTGAGCAAATAATCTGTGAAGCAATCATAAGTTTATGCACACAAATGTTCATCATAGCATTACTTATAAGAGTGAAAAACTATAAGCAGGGGCCGGCCCTGTGGCGCAGCGGTTAAGGGCGCATGTTCTGCTTCGGTGGCCCCAGGTTCGCCGGTTCAGATCCCGGGTGCGGACATGGCACCTTTTGGCAAAAGCCATGCTGTGGTAGGCGTCCCACGTATACAGTAGAGGAAGATGGGCACGGATGTTAGCTCAGGGCCAGTCTTCCTCAGCAAAAAGAGGAGGATTGGCAGCAGTTAGCTCAGGGCTAATCTTCCTCAAAAAAAAAAAAAAAACCAAAAAAAACTGTAAGCAACTTTAAAGTTTAACAGAAAGGAATGGTTAAATAAACTATGCTGTATTAATATGCTGGAATATTGTGAAGCCAAGGACATGGGAAAATGCTCGATATAAAATTAAATTAAAAAAAAGCAAAATTGTATACCCCCATATACAGGAATAGTACACCACTATTAAAAAACACACCATAGCTTCATATGTCTAAGACATATTACTAAATGTAAAAGTAAGCTAAAAAAGAGCACAGCATGGTTCCATTTTTGTTTAAAGGTGATAATTATGTAGGTTACTATCTATAAAAGGAAAAACCTATGGGAAAATACACCAAACCGCGAATGGAAGGCCATTCTCTGGGAGGTATCACTATGATACAGATTTCTGTAACGTGGAATGTTTTTCCAATGAACATGTGTTATTTTGTAAGCTTTTGAAAAGTATTTTTTGTATTTAAAAGTCTATATTCATCATATATTTTTTATTAGTTAAAAAGGGAAAATGTCCCTTTACAATGGAGAGAGATGGTGGTTACCAGCTTAGCCAAATGATCAACCTCAGCATCATTAATGAGACATCCTGACATATGTGCCTCCTGATGTGATGTAATTTGAAGTTGACACCATTAACTATGAAGTGTTCTTACCAAAAATATTTAACCTGAAGCTAAATAAGCATCTACGCCAACGGTTCTCACACTTTAGTTGCACCAGCAGCCCCTGGAGGTCTTGTTAAAGTGCAGGCTACGACACCCCACCCAGAGTTTCATTCACAGGTAAGTTAAATTCAGTCCAGCTGGAATGAGACCCAAGAATTTGCACTTTTTCCCCCACAAGTCCCCAGATGATGCTGACGCTACTGGTCCAGAGATGACGCTTTGAGAACCACTGCTCGAGAGCTAACTTTCAGTTTACAGAAATACAGGGATAGAAGAACAAGTTAAATAACACCATGAGGAAACTATCAGAACACCCAGGATACGGAACGTGCTATAACACAACTAGCCTGGACTCTTTAAAAAGTTAATATCATAGGAGAAAAAAAGTTGGAAGGAATCAAGGACTGTTCTAGATTAAAAGAGACCACAGAGACATAATACAAATGCACAAAAGACACACTGGACATCGATTTGGGATTAAAAACAGAAACTGCTACAAACAACCTTTTGGGAGAACTGAGAAAATCTGAATATGGACTGAATACTATGCAATTATAGTTAATTTCCTCATATGTGATAATGGCACTGTGTCATGAAGGAGAGAATCCTCATTCTTAGTCAATGCGCTCTGACGTGTTAAGGCGTGAGGAGTCAGGACAGTCTGCAACTAAATCTCACGCAGGTCAGCAAGAGGAAAAAAGTGTCTGCAAGAGCCTCACAGAGCGACTGTGGCAGCTATTAACAACTGGAGTGTGTCCAAGCATTCATTATACTATTCTTTCAACTTTTCTCTGTATGTGAAAATTTCCAAAATTAAAAGTTGGGAAAAGAAAAACTACAGACACGATTCCTCTAATTTTGTGTGCAATGGGGGAGGGGTATAGAGCACAGAGACATTTAATAAGACAGGGAGAAAATAAGCCCAAATATTAATAGTGCTTTTTCATCACGGTGGGCTTACAGGTGACTTATTTCCCTTTCTAATTTTCAGATTTTTAAAAATGCTCTGTAATGAGTAGATATTACTTTTATAATGTGAAGCAATTTAAACATGTTCTTAAAAAATTCAAACAGATGGGCTTTAAAGAAATTGCATGAGCAGGCCTCCCCGATGTGCTCAGGGCAGTGTACAAGCGGAAGGGGGTGCCGAGGTCTCCCTCTGAGCTCATTTTCTGCAGAGCACCTGGAAATTAGGAGGCTGGGCGACTGGCTTACTTGGTGCTGCGTCTTACTCTCCATATGTCCCAGCTTTGTATTCATTTTATCCTGAACCGACCCCAGCTCTGCTCTGATCTCCTCCACAGTTGCCTCCAACTGGTTCTCCAGCTTGTTGATCAGGGGTTCACATCGACAACCATCTATTGGTGCCTGACAGGGAAACAAAAGGAATCAGTCCATCTCATTCGCTCCTTCAGCAAAGCACTTGTGAGTACCCATCATAAACCCGTCAGCACACCAGGGGGACAGAGACGATGGAGGAGACAGACTCGTCCTTGTTGGAACTTTGGAACGCCTGGTAGGCCAAGCTTTGGGTCCAGTCCTCACTAAGAAGACTCAGAGAGGGCAAGATATGGCCCCAATCCTCAAGCTGCTTTTGTCGACGCTGGGGCCTCCACGTGATCTAGTCCCCTAAGGATAGTGCAGAAAGCTTGGTACCTACCCCCACGCCTGGGCGTAAGTGACAGGAGGGTATCTGTACTGTTTAGGTGAGGAGGGCCATCTGGTTGATCTTCAAGGCTCATACCTCCTTAAGTCAATGCCTAAAGTGGATCTTAGCCCCCAGGAAAAGTGTTCAACAGACAACCTTGCTTAAGGCCTGTGGCCCCGTGTCCTGACAGGCTGGGCGGGTACCTGCATCACTTTCCCGTCCTTGCCACGGTACAGCGTGTAGAGCTGGTATGCTCTAAACTCATGCGGAGGGGGTGGGGGAGAGCATCGATGCCTGGCCTTCTTTTTAGGGTGATTATGAGTGTGCAAGTTCTTCTGGTGTCCAGGCTGTTGGTCCGCTGGTGGGGTGGGGTCAGAAAATGCTGACGCCTGTGGGAGAGGAAGAGACAACACCCCTGAGCACTGTGACATCTGTAAAATGGACACTCAGACAATGGCTCCCATCTCACCTCCTTTTTGGGCAAAGAACCCCACCTCCCTCTGCCTCCTGGCGTTCCACTCCAAGCACCACGTCCAAAGAAATCCATCCGCACGCTAACCTTGTGCCCGAAGTTGGCCAGACCTAATTCCTGGGCTCTGGTCCAGACCAGCAAGCCAAGCGAAGTGGCCTTTGAGTTGCTGAGCATGACGCTATCCCTGGGCCCCGCGCCACCCTGCTCCCAGCCCTCGCCCGCTGCCTTCACGTGCCTCCTGACCTTGGGCCTTGACTTTCTCTGCCTGTTGTCCTTTGCTCTGGGCTCCGGCGAGGCTGACAGGAAATCTTCTCTGGGCTCTTCTTTCCTGGGCGCAGCCTGTTCACTGCTGGGGGTGTCTCCTGCCGAGACACTTCCCTGCAGGGAAAGCAAGCCCAGAGACTCGTTCTACTGCCCCCTTGGGCTTTCTCAATAGTGGCGTAAAATTCTGTTTGCCAGACGCCAGCCACTAACGGACCCACGGGAACCTGCCAACGACAGGCTTGGTCGTCCTGACTAACATGGATGTTTCTCCCACTCAGCTGAATGCCTGGCTTTTATTTTATCTATTAGGTGCCAAACCAAATCCAGTCTTGGGTCTCATTCTATATTCTAGAACATCAGGAACCTACACCCACAAAACACCTCAGCATTGGAGATTTTGGTCTTTTGCATTCAACACAAAACAACCCCACTCATTCTTTGAACTTGGACCCTCACAATTCATAGCAGAGTGAGAACCCTCTGAAACGACAAACCACCACATTTCTGGTCCTTGTGAGAACATCTACAAATTACTATGTACAATTCACACACAGGAACTTAATCAGAGTTACAATGCCTTAACCCTGGAAGTTGATAAGCAGACAGAAGAACAAGTGCTTGGTATAAAACTTTATGTGTCAGAAGTTGTCTCTATATCCTAGTCGTCTTCCTCCTGTGCAAGCTGAAAGGCATGGTTCATTCCAGGGCTGCTGCATATAGCTGTGCAAGCTGTTCACTGCACGAGGGCACCTGGCGGAGGGGGCTGAGTGCAGCAGAGGGAGCTGAAATCCAGTCCGGGCTCTATTCACCATATGTGCCCTGTGCCGGGGCTGCTCTGCCTGGGGGCATCTTTTTCTAATCTGCACAAAGGAGTCGGATGGGCTAGGACAGCCTCAGTCCATTCCCTAAGTGGAAAGAGAGGAAGCAACCCATGCCAGTGGTTCTCAAACTTGAGTCCCCATGAGCATCACCTAGAGAGCTCGTTCAGACTGCTGAGCCCCACCTCAGAGTTTCTGATCCAGTGGGTCTGAGGTGAGGCCCCCAAATTTGCATTTCTAACAAGATCCCAGATGACACAGTGGATATCACACTTTGAAAACCACTGCTCTACACAATTAAGGGCACGATGTCAGAGAGGCAGGGCTGTCCACGTGGTAGTGACAAGGCCACAGATACATGGGGCTAGTGAATATACCCACACCAGGGTGCTGGAAAGATGGTAACACACGGGCACATGATCTGAAATCCTGGAGGCAAGGAGGATAGGAGGCCAAAGGGAAAAGACTGACAAGAGTCTGAAGACCCCAGAGGAAAGGAGAGACAGGAGGGCATGGTGGCCACCAGATGAACCCAGAGGAAGGAGGGAGATAGTTTCCCACCCTCTGTAAGTGAGCGGAGTTGGGGAGGGGCGGGAGGGCTACCCCCCACCTTGCTTTGTGCCACCTCATCTCTTGGCACAGACTGAGCTCTCCTCTCTTCCTTGAGCCTTTCTCTCTTTTTCCTCAGGCTTCGCCCACGACTGAAGCGCAAGACCTGAAGGAGGCAAGAGGCATCGTTACAAACCACTGGGGTGCAGCATCAGCGTGAGAGACTTCTTGGACCTGGCGCTCTGCCCTAACGGGACTTCCAGCCTAGTGGGAGAGACCAAGCATTTACATCAAAGAAGCACCTCTGGACCACCTCCTATGCCTCATAGGTCTCGTGCTGGGCACTACAGGGACCCAGAGGTGGGTAGGACGTTGTCTCTGACCTCAAGGAGATTAGACAATAATAATAACAGGCATTTATGTGCTGGGCCGGGGCTGCCACCTAGGCGTGTGTAAGCTGTGCGCTGCTTAATTTCAGGGAGCACCACTCACATAGACTAGGATATGAATGGCGTCCCCTGGAGCTGTGCAGTGCGGCGGCCCTACGCTAGGCACAGTCTCACTCACTATCTTGGTACACTGGACACAAACTAGCCCATCAGATTTTCTTTTGGCCAAACTGGATCCAAGTCATATTCAATTTGATTCAAACATTATTGAGGTGCATCTGTGAGCCATGGTACCAACCATGAGGCAGGAATCTCCTCCCCAAAAGGAAGCATTTGGTCTGCCCTGTAGAGTGCAGAGAGGTGGACGGGACAGAGGCAAGTACATGTGGGGGCCAGTGGACCCAGACCGGAACCCAGCAGCAGCTAACTGTAGGATCTTGGGGCAACTTCTGTGACCTCTCTGTGCTCCATATTCTCAAATGTAAAAATGGGGTGTTGTTGGGATTACCCGAGACAAAGCAGGTGGCTGGCACACCTTGGAGCGTCAGTCACTGTCAGGTGCCTTACAGTTGCTTAACCGGCAGAGGATGTTTAAGCACAGAGTATAGATCTTTGAGCTGGTGGAAACCTTCATTCTCTGGCCCAGCTCCACACCCTTCCCCTAGCCCCCTACCCCGAGTTTCAGGGTTCGCCCCCTTTAACCAGAGGTCCAGAGGGTGAAAACACTTTTTCAAGGTCACACTATCTTTCTGCAATAAAACAACATCTTAGCGTCTTCCTATATAGATAGGCAGGTGCTCTCTGAAGTTCGGCATAGTGTTTTTCATCTCGTGTCAGACTGTCGTCTTGGGTTCATTAGATTCAAGAGGCACCATTATATGACAAAAAGAACCTCCACAGGCAGTGGGTACCACCTAAATGGAAAATCCCCGACAATATCTGCCTGTCACTGAACCTGATTTTTAAACCGCATTCTCATCCTGTGAGCCAGTAGTTCTGAAAGTGTCCAGGTACCCTTGGGCCCAGGAGGTTAAAATCATTTTCGTATTATTAAGACAGCATTGGCCTTTTCACTCTCCTCTCCTGAGTGTACAGATGTGTTTACCAGAAGCTGCGTGAGTGATATTGCAATAGACCACACACGGAAATCAACGAGAATCCTAATTCTAAGTAAGACAGTTCAGATTTGCAAAACTGCAAAATGATGCTACTCTTCTCACTCAATTTTTTTTTTGAAAAATTATTCTTTTTCATAAAATTATGCTACTTAACACAAATGAACTTATTTTTAGATGGATAAACATCTTGAACATTTCTCAACTTTAATTTCAAATATGGGAACTGTTGATAGATATAACTCAGAGAAACAAAGCTCTTTCTAGGCCTCTGCCATATTTAAGAAGGTAAAAAGGTCCTTAGACCAAAAAGTCTGAGAACCACTGTCCTAAGCCATTTCTAAAACTAAATTCAGACTCACCAGGAAGTCGAGTCTGATGAAAGGAAGTGACTAAAGCCTGTGGCCCATTTGGTTTATGGACTCTTAGAACAGGATCAACTGCCAGGATCAACTCGAAATTCACTTTCAGAAGCATTTGTGAACCATGTCAATTAAAAATGAGAACTGACACTCAGAGGTCACCCAAACCCAAAATAATCATCAGAAAAATTTCCTCCATGGAGCACATTATTAGCTAGTGAAAATAGCTTTGCATGGCTTACAGCCTTTCTCGGAGAACCACACTATCTACCAAATGGAATGTCATCAATCTTTTCCAGTTCACAGACATCAGGGAATATTGATCTTAAGGGCTCAGAAGGAAGTATCCTCTTAGTACTGTGTGAGCTGTGGTCAGTTAAGGTGCCAAGGAGAGGGAATTTCTCATTTCAGACAAACGAACAGTAAGGCTATTTCTCTAACTACAGAACAACAGAACAGCATGCGTATAATTTAATGCATATTCCAAAGTTCCTTCTTTGTGTTGAGCAAATAGGGTTTAGCGTGTACAATTATGTAAAATAAACTTTCAGAAAATGTCATCCTATTTATTTGCTATTCAATATGGGTGTGGAAAAACTTGCTTAAATCATTTGTTTAATTATTATTATTTTTGGTGAGGAAGATTGGCCCTGAGCTAACATCTGTGCCAATCTTCCTCTACTTTGTATGTGGGACACTGCCATAGCACGGCTTGATGAGCAGTGCATAAGTCCATGCTGGGGATCCAAACCTGTGAACCCTGGGCGACCAAAGCGGAGCACACAAACTTAACCATTATACCACCAGGCTGGCCCTGCTTAAGTCATTTTTTAATGGAAACACTAAAGGAGAAGCACACAGTAAAATGGTGCACAATAAAGCTTTTTCCCTATGAATTCAGATCCGTGGGCTCTGGAAGACAAACGACAGGTTGGTTAAAGGCTCATCAGTCTTTGCGTGCCAGGCAGACACTCCACCCACAAGACTTGATGATCTTCATATGGCTGAGGACAGGGCTGGCTGTCCACCAAACTGCCAAACCCTGAAATGCCAGACAACTTGACGGATTCTGACATTTATACGGCACCCTATACCTTCTGATCTATGAGAGACCAGCATTTTTCTATCAGGATATGAGTCCACTGATTGGTCTGCAAATACGTGGAGGGAGGTGGAGCCTTTTCTGAAGGAGCGCCTGACTCGTGCCTGTCGGGGGCTCTGTGGGCTTCCAGAGGCCACCAAGAAGGACCAACCCCACAGGCAGGAGAGTCATCAATTCTGCAAAAGACAAAAATCTTAACCCTTTCCAGAAACTGCTAGTTATATCAGGCATGTTTTCTTAAAATTTAAATGAAATAAAGGCCATGTAGAACCCCAGGCTGGCGGGGACCAGGCTATGATGTGGCAGGCTGGTGTCCAGAACATTCTTCTGGCTCCATGAGACTGTCTTCTCACCACATTAGCCAGAATAAGGTGGAAAACCAATCAGTGTTTGCTGTAATGTAACACAGAATAGCTCCAACTGGGAAATAACCTAAATGTCCAACATTAAGGAAATGGTTTAACCAAATATTGGACGGCAACAAAAAAGAATACTATCCTCCCATTATGAAGAATAACTGCGAAGAGTGTAGAACATTTTCCTATTATAATTAGGATAAAGGGCAGAATACAAAAGGGTATATACATTGTAGGCACAACTATATACAAATTATGTGTCTGTGGAAGGTAATATGAACAAAAACTGTTATTTCAGGGCACTGAAATTATGAATAACCTGTAAATTATCATTATTAAACCTCTTTATTCTTACTTGGATAATTTCAACCTCAACTCAAATGATATCAGTCATCTTTTAAAAATTAAACGACGGCCAAAATGCCATTATTCAATGAAAAAGGAAAGAAAACTATACTATACTTAACTGCCTCTAGTGGAAATTTACTGCTTTGTCGGCCCAGAATGGACCCCTCCCTCCCACTTTCTCTAGGAAATGCCCCTTCTAACCACATGGTCAAATGGATGCAGCTATCTTCTTAAAGCCCCTGTCCTACTTGTTCAGGGCATTTGCCCCAAGCTCACCAATCATGGTCCTCACCTGTGATGTATTCAAGTGGAACTTCTTCCCTAGCTGAGTACCGGGGTAGTATGACACAGGAAGCTGGTACTGACAATGATCTAGCCACAGGGAGGAAATGATGCCCATGTATGAAGAGCAGCCTGCTGGACCTGAAGTCTCTGGTTCTGGTTACCCTGAATGGAGGCCCACGTGAATTCCTACATTGTCCACTGCCTGGTCAGTAAGCCCATCAGTTCCCTATTTAAGTCAGTTTGCATTGGCTTCAGAAGGTTGCAACCAGAGTCTCAATGACTTTGCAGCCTCACATAATCAATACAATGGAAAGTGCAATAAATCCTACCTGGGGAGCTTTAGTGAGGAGAAGAGCAACTTCCGGATTATTGTGGTAGCGGGCAGTCTCCAGCGGAGTCTGGCCTGCCTGAGGAAAGGCACAGGGGAGGACAAGTGAGTAAGGGACACCAACTCTGCACAAACGCTGCCCAACTGGGACACCAACTCTGCACTCAGTGACACCAACACCTACACATGCTCAACAATACACAACCATGTGGATGAGCAGGGCCCCCTCAAGTCTCCCCATCCAGTGAGGGAGCCAAGTCACCCCTGAGGACACGGTGATTAACAACATACAGCCACAGAGGGCAGGTGCTGACTGAGTGAACAATAAGCGCTCTAGGAGGCAAAGGTCTGTGGCACCGCCCACCAAGGAAGGCTTCCTGGAAAAAGAGATGGGGGATGGTGCAAATCAGACAGGGTCAAGGAGGAAGATTTCATTTGAGGAGACAAGCCAAAAAAGGGTCATAAAATCCAGCCAAGCAAAGAATTTTCCCTGGAGAACAGTGAAGGTACCTGGAAGGGCAGACCAGGGCCCAGCCACTGAGTCTCAGGAACCGGACTGTGAAAAACAATTAGGAAGCTGTGGCCACAACAGAGGCTCTAGGGAGATGTAGCCAAAAACCAGGAGTTGGTAACATTGGGAAAGGAAGGGGAAGGTGGGTTCAAGGCATCATGGGAGAGGTACCATGATGTACCACACAATCCAGGTACTAGAGGTGTGAGGAGGAACCAGATACGGGAGCCTTTCCCAGCTTCAACACCCCCACACAACTGTTCCGCCCCCAGTCCTGAGTCTGCGCTATTTCAGGAGGGCAGAGACCACAGGTCAGCCTCGAGCAAGAAAGGGTACCTGAGTAGGTACCTGCTATGGGATCTGGGAGAGAGGGAGGGGAGGGGATACTGAGAGAGAAGGAAGGAGTAAAATAAGGTGACTCTGGAGAGGAAGGAGTTAGAGTTTTGAGCATGATTAATCTGATGGCCCTGGGGCCATTTTTCTGAGGACCACATCTGTTTACAGGCCTGGAACTCACTCGCAGTAACATCCACTTGTCAGTTTACTTAGACACCCCTGATCTTCCTTTTCACGCCAGGATGTGCTCACTTCAGCTAGAAGTCTAAAGATGAGCCCTCAGGGCTTGTCAACGCAAGGGGCTGCTAAGAGCAAGGGTTGCCTCAAGTCCGCCTGAGGGCCCGAGGACTGGAGCTTTAGCAACTACACCCCTACAGAGCGAGGCTGGTGAGGCTATGTGCCCTCGGAGCCCGCAGGAGGTGAGGTAGGAACAACACCCCCCTTCTGGAAAGGGGTGGGAAGAGCTTCAGAATCCATTGTTGCAACTCAACTTACATTATTAACAATGGTCCCATCTGCTCCAGCTTCCAGTAAGATTTTGACCACCTTCTTGTGATTCAGGGCAGCGGCAACATGCAGTGCTGTGTCTCCAGCCTGAAATCAGTCAGAAGAAAGCCTGCTAAACCCCATCTGATCATGGCCCCCAGCCCTCCAGCTCTCAACCCACGGCCTGGTGGTGGCTTTTCAAACAATCTAAGATTTGCCTTAGACGGATAGGGGGCCCTTTGCTCAAGTGTTATGTGGTTCTTTTTAAAGAGATCTTGAAACTAAATGACCCAGGCACAAACATCACATTCCTTTCCAACTGGGGATACTAGAAATCACAGGATTAAGAGCAGGGAGCAAAGTAATGCTGGGCTGGGTTGTTGAGAATGGTGAGACCTGAAGCCTGACACCGAGGCAGGAAGACGGGCAGGGAGCCAGGGGCGGCAGGCTATCCATCCCGGAGCTCTGGACCATGCCCCTCTGTGGCAGGGGAGAGGGCAGAGACCCCTTGGTTTCTGAGTGCTAGAATGAGCAGAAGCTGCAGAAGATGGCTACTCCTAGATGCACGGGAGGATAACATCCCGGCCTCGCAGCACCTTTGGGGACTCGAAGGGGCTGATGGGACTCATTCCGCAGGTCTAGGTGTTCTCTGTCTGGGTGGAGTCACTGAGAATCCGTGTTCACTTAAGACCAGCTGTTTTCAACCTCTTACCAAACAGCCTAAGTTTTCATATCTTCTTTACACAAAAATGTTTTCAGACAATCAGCTATGAAAGGAGGATATAGACAAGAGTAGCCTGATGGGCCAATTCCAAATGCAAATACTGGGCTTTTTCCCCCAAACAGAATGATATATATAAAGCAGGCAAATATAGGAGAAGTAAAATAATCCATTCTCTCCCATCAGGTGATCAGGTAAGGCACCCTGCTCCCTTGTTTTCTGGCAAGCATGAAAATCCAGCCATCCCCGTGGCCCTCTTCCCCCAGAGAATAGCCGGGGAAAAGTGTATTTCATTGCTGAGTCACTTAGCTGTGTACGTTGGGGACCTTTAAAAACTACCGATGCCCAGGCCCCACCCCCAGACATGCTGATTTAATTGTCTGAGTGTGGGTTGGGCAAGGTGGGTTTTCAAAGCTCCCAGGTGACTGAAACATGCCCCAAGGTTGAGAAGCACTGGTTAGTGGGGGCTGTGGGGTACTCTGACGAACTAGAATCCACTGGGAGGCTGCAGAATGACCAAATTTAGCTATTTAGCTAGGTCAGCGGGTCTCAATCCGGTCTGCACACCAGCCCAGGAGCTTTTTGAAACTCCCATTGCCTGGATGTTCTGGTCACTTAAACGGGGGTGGGATTCAGAATTGGTATTTTTAATTCCCCTGTTGATTCTCATATGCAGCCAGGATCAGAAACCATTGTTATAGGGTATATTTAATCTGAACGACAATCTTTTTTAAGTTTCGGATATATGCAGCCAAACTCAGAAAAGTCAAACAACGCATCACTTAGGTATCAATAAATATGAAGACTTTTTAAAATCGAAGTGACTACTGAAAATCATGTACTTTTCCATGGAACACATAATCATAACTTTATTCAAAACCCCCGCTATATGGCACAGATATAGATCATGTACCCAATTTTACAGAAACAGAAACTCCATCAGCTCAAATAAAGTGGCAATGCAAGGAACAGAACAGAGTCATGAGACACATAATTTCCTTGCTTCTTTACTAAGCCACACTCTTGCTTGTGGGTTTCCCTTTGTAAAATCATATTAAAAACCAAACCTGCCGCAGGACCTCCAGAGAATGTTCAGTACGCAAATGTGGTGAGATGCACTGGAATGATAAGGTCAGGCTTTCTCTAGGAGGCCAGATAGACCAGGGCCACAGGAACTCGGTGGAACACCCATGGAAAGGCCTGCACTGGCCAAGTCCCAGACCCGGAGAGGCTCCCAGCAGCCTCTGCTCCCGTTTGTGCCCACACACCTGTCAGTTAGCCTTGTGGGGAGGGGGCCTGGTGGCCATGGGGAGGACACATGCACTGACCTGGTTCTTTTCATGGACAGAACAGAAAGCACTGAGGAGGAGCTTAATGATGGACAAGTGATTATAGCGTGCAGCAACGTGCAAACAGGTGTCGCCTGCCTGCGGACAGAAATCAAACTCTAAGCACAGTCTGAGCGGTTACAAAACAAAACAGAGTAAAAAAGAAACATCACTTAAAAGCTGGCAGACTAGCACACGTTCTTCAGAGGATATCAGCCTGAATTCTAAGCATCTCCCCTACTGCAGATGCTCCACTCCAAGACTCACAGCCCTCTGCCGCTGTCTGCAGCCCTGCTCACTTTCAGCCGCGCAGTCTCTGCTTTCAGGTTCACACGCTGGATGCCTGCTCCGCGAGACCTTCACAAGAGCCAGGCAGGCTCTGCTCACCCAGCACTTGATCAGAATCCGCTGCCCCCAGCCTCTCCTGCAACCCACAGGCTCTGGAGTACACTGAACTACGACCAACAGCACTGCTGTGGAAACGAGCCTTCCCATCACAGAGCCGTCGTGACCTGTCGGATTTTAAGATCTTGTGTGTTCTAAAAAAACTCACGTTGCGTCCTATTTTAGCAGGACCCCAATATCCCATATGGAACAAAGTAGCCTGGGGAGATGATGAAGAAGCAATCACTGGGAGTGAAAAAGGGCATTCAGAAACCCTCAGGAGCAGGGCCTTCCTTAGTGGACACAGGCCAAACTGCTCCCAGAGAGACAACGAAACCGGAGACAGAAAGTCGTGACATTCTGCAGCGTTCTCCTGACGTCTTCATTCTAGCTCTGTCTAGAGATGGTGACCACTCAGCATAACCTCTCCCCCGGAATGAGGGGGGCCAAGCTCAAAGCTGAGGCTCAGGGCATTCTGAGAACCCCCTCAGATGAGTCCGCCCCCAAATCGAGAAGATCCCAGCTGAGGCTATTTTGTTGCAAGAAGCCTCAGTCAGACTCTCTTGTCAGGTGGCTGAGGCTGGGGGCTTATAAAGGAAACGCAGCTTGTGGTGGAGGGAGGGGGGAGACCCACATGACTGCTCAGGTCGGGCATCCACTAAGAACCACTGACACATCAGCTCATCCCAAGGACGCCTCAGTAAGCAGTTTGTGGGTGCTGGGCACGGAGCATCAGAAGACCCCCCGGCACGGCATCAGCCAATTTTGCCATAGTACAACACTCCATGTGGGTGGAGACTTTCTTAAAACATTTAGACGTTTCTTAGACTCATTCGCCAGACACATGCCCTAAGAAATGACAAAGAAACTGAGGTGGAGGAGTGAGGGGAAAAGGACGGGAGAAGAGCAGTGTTTCCGAGTCTTGATTCCTTTTCTCGTGCCCCTTAGGAACGACCCCTTAGGAAATTAGCAAAAAAGGAATAGAAATAGTCCCCAAACACTTTACATTTTTATTTTCTAGATGTTAATACTCAAGCATGCTGAGGGTTATTTTCTGAGGTGACACAAGAGAGCGCGAGAGAAGCCGGTTTTGTTCACCCACGTTATTTTTGAGGTCAGCGCGGGACCCGCCCAGCAGGAGGATGCGCGTGCTCTGGGAGTGGCTGTTCTGGCAGGCCAGGTGCAGAGCGGTGTTCCCCGCCTTGGAGAGAGGCAAGAGAAGGGAGGACACGTTAGCAACACGCTTCTGTGCAGACCTGCACCGGGCAGGCCATGCAGAGGGGCGATACTTAGGGAAAAACAGTCAATGCTCACATTCTCTGCTTCCTGACCAGAGGTCCCAGCAAAGGACATGTTCTTCCATGGCAAGAACATTTAATTTGGAATCCAAACAGGCAGAAGAGCCACATCTGTCAGAAAACCTGGGTTCCAAGTCCTGGCTATACCACTTACTAGTTGAAAGCCACTGGGCAAGGCTCTTAATTAGCTTCTCAGCCTTGAATTCCTTACCTGTAAAAGGGAGCGAGACTCCTACATCCTGAGGCTGTCAGGAGTAGTTCAGAGTGCCGAGGAGGGCACTTCCTAGTGGTAAAATGCTGTGCACATGCACAGCGCTCTGTGCCCTAGCGAGGACCGCATCCCTCCTGCCCAACACGCACAATACCTGTGGCTACAAAACTCTACCGTGGAGCAGAGACGGCAGAAACAGGCCACTTCCTGCATGTGCAGGCTAAAGGGACCTAGGATTTAACTTGGAAGACTTTCTCAAATCTTGTATTTTTCTTGAAACATCAAAAGCTGAACTACAGACAAGGTCCCCACAGAAGAGGCAAGACATTTGCACCTGTCACTTACTATGCAGATAGAGACCCTCCTGCTTCTCGGGTTCTACCTTGAACACACCACGTGAAAATGATAACCAAGGGTCGGAACAGAGTCCACAGCAATCTTGACACGACACAGACAGAACTTTTTGAAACTGTGGGCACAGGACCTGCAAGACTCCTGATAACCCCTAGACAAGGAAGGGGAGCAGCAGGCAGCAGGGGAGGAGACCTGGCATCAAGTCTGACAGGCCGCGAGCTCTCAGAAGGTTAATGCCCAAGCTCAGTGTTTGTTCTGCTGAGTTGGAGAGCTGGGTCAGGACTGCACTGGCGTGGGCTCAGAGCTATGACACTGCCTGTTTATGGCTCTTTGCTCGCCTCGTTTACTCCTGCTGGATCACGCAGCACTGTCTGCCCATGCTCGACGATGTTCTATTCCTCATCGTTTGAAAGGAGGAATGAGGTTTTTTTTAAAAGAGGAAAACTATATGTCGCCGGTTCACTTAGCTAAGTCATAACTTAGCTCTAAGCAGCCTGGTAGAGTAGTTTTTCCTCCCTGGCACAGGGGGTGGGGTCCGGGCTGTTCTAGTTTTAGCCCTGAGAGTCAGCATTCCAGGAAACCCCTCAGCCCAGGGCAAAGCAGGACAGCTGGTCACTCAAGGCCTAGTTGGGGTTTGCTTCTCCTCTTTTTCTGTTTAAAGTTTCCCAGGAGATTTTAAAGTGCAGCCAGTAGAGAACCATGGCTGGCTTAGTTCTCAGAAATGAAAGATCTGCCCACACTCTAAATTCTTCGTTTCTCGTGAAAGGCGCAGGGCTTGGTGGTGGAATGCTCACTGCACACAGAGTTGGCTGTCTCAAAGTTATTGGCCTTGTGGGAATCCTTAAAAAGGTGTTGAATAAATGAGTGAAATAAAAGAGATATGATGGTTCTAGAAATACATGCTATCAACATTTACTTTGGCAGTAAGAAAATACCAATTATGCTGAAAAGCATTTAGATCAAGAAAATGAGAAACCATGGGTGTGAATAGACAAATTATGGTGCATCCATACAATAAAAAGGAATGAAAGGATGCAATAAAAAGGAATGAACTCATCATACACATAACAACATGGAGGAATCTCAAAAACATTATGCTAAATGAAAGAAGTCAGACACAAAAGGCTACATACTGTATGATTCCATTTAGATGACATTCTGGGAAAGGCTACCATTCCGTGGTGGTCAGGGGCCGGGAGTGGATGGGCGTAGGATTGCCACCAAAGGGCACAGAGGAACTTTTTGGGGTGATGGAAACATTTTATATCTTGATTGTGGTGGTGGTGGTTACACAACTGTATACATTTATCAAAACTCCTAGAACAGTAGAGCTAAGAAGGACGAACTTTACTGTATATGAATTATGCCTCAAAACCTGACGTTACAAAGATGTGACCTGGGTAGATATATGTAGCAGGCACTTCTCCCCTCCTAAGTAATGAGTACTGATGTCCCAGACAGGGGCTCCAGGACCTTGCTTATACAGTGGAATATTATTCAGCTTTAAAAAAAGAGAGAAATTCTGTCATTTGCGACAACATGGATGAACCCAGAGGGCATTAAGCCAAGTGAAATAAGCCAGACGAGAAAGACAAACATTGTATGGTATCACTTACATGTGGAAACTTGAAAAAAAAAAATAGTCAAACTCATAGGACAGAGTAGAAAGTGGCTGCCAGGGGCTAGGATGTGGGGAAATAGGGAGAGGTTGGTAAAAGGACAGACACTTTCAGTTATATGAATAAGGTCTAAGGATCTAATGTACAACATGGGGACTATAGTTGATAACACTGCATAGTATCATTGAAATTTGCTGAGAGTAGAACTTAAACGTTCTCACAAAAAAAGGAAATACGTGAGATGATGGTATTAATTAACCAATGGGGGAGATCCTTTCACAATATATGCATACATCAAATTATCCCACTGTATAGTTTATATATCTTACAATTTTATTTGTCAATTATACCTCAATACAGCTGAAAAAAAAAAAAGACAGACCTTTCTAGAGGCTTCCCAGAGGCTGCAGCTGGAGCAGAGCACAGAAGCCCTCTTCTGGGATGGCACCTCACTGTGCTTCCCCAGCCTCTGCTGCTGCATCTGCAGGGAGGACCTGTGGCCCGCCACAGCACCCCTGGGGCCTGCATGGGACAGGCGGCAGTGTGGCAGAGCAGACAGACCCAGGCTAGTTTACAGCCCTAAGTGTGTCACAAACGCATCATGCGTCTTGGTCAAGACTCTCCTGGTTCCCAGCTTAGGCCTCCCTCTCATTAAGTGGGAGCCACCTACTTCTCAGCTGGTATAAACTCACCACTCATGTTCCAGACATGTGCCACTGAGGAAATGGAGCAGCCACCAGCCTGCCAGGCATTACTGGAGATGTTACGATGCATGGATGCTTCTTTCCCTCAAGCTTTTGACCCGTGAGGGAACCGTGAGAAACATTTAGCCATTAAATGACAGCGGGTGCCAACAGAGCGCCGCAGGAACCAGCCCAACAGCCTTTGGGGAGGGAGAGGCCCTGCCCTGGGGCTGGGTTGGAGGTCCACAGGCAGAACCGAGGAGCAGGCTACCTCTAAGGCAGTGGGCAAGCGGAGGCAACAGTGAGCCCACCCGGATGGCGCAGGAGGCACATGCCGGGAAAGGCACAGGGCAGAGGCTCCAGACGCAGGCTGAGGCCCCAGACAGCTTCAGCGGCAGGTTTCTGAGCAGAGGAGGAGCAGGATGGAGAAGGGACTAGGCACGCCCGTCCATAGCCTGTGAGGCTTCTGAAATTCTCCAGGGACGCATTAATAATGAGCACGGCAGGAGAGGGACACGTGCGAGAGAGAAGACGGGATGAGTGACCCGGAGGGGAGAAGAAATGCTACTGGCCTATGAGGACAGGGCTGGCTTGCTAACTACGCTCTAATTAACCAGTGGAAAGCAGTGAGAGCCGGGGAGTTCAAAGGGAGTCCCAGCCACTCCAGGAGGTGCTCTCGCTCGCCACAGAGCTGATGTTCCCTAAGGAGTTTCAAGCTTTCTTTTCCCTTGAGCTCTGCTCTGCTCAGTGAGAAGAGGCTCCTGCAGGGAAGGAAGCACAGCCACCCTCACCTGTGAAGGAGGAGCTCTAGCACCTTCTGGGCCTCACCTTGTTCTTGGCAAGCACGTTGGCCCCTGCCTTAACAAGCAGCTTGGCTGACTGGCTGAAACCGTGCCAGGACGCTTCGTGCAGGGCCGTATTCCCATCCTGAGGAGTGCACACAGGGAGAGAAAGCTATTACCAAGACCTAACATCCCACTGTAACCCAAGCATCAGTGTGTATTCTTAGGCCACACCGCAGCGCCTTTCTCAACTGGGGTTTCCTTTCTCAACTGGGGTTTCTCGTCTGAACCACAGAACCCAGAATATGACTTGAGTAGCCAGTTTCTCCATTCTCCCAGATACGGTACAACCAGTACTGTTCTAGATTCAAGATGTACAACGGGTACCTTACAGTGTTAGAGCTAAGGCTTTCTGCGAATCCCAGTTGAGAAAAGCTCCAGGGCCATGCACAGCTCACATTTAACAGAAAGCACCATGAGACATCATGATGTCCATTCCTTCCCACCTCCACCGTGCCCTGGGGCCTGCTCTTCTCTGCTTCCAGACCGAGAGAGAACCCTGCAAAGGTCGGGCAAAAGAAGAGCCCATCTCAGAAGTTCCAGGGCCCAAGGGCCAGACAGTAGATCCCCTCCTCCTTTTTCTTCCCCAAATTTAATCTCACTCAGCTTCATCCAAAAGCCTCAGGCCCCAAACAAATGAGCAGACGCTGAAAAAACAGTGATTTGTAAATAAAGTAAACAGGTGTCCTCAATATATTGGTGACTTTTAAATAAAAATCAACCATTAACAAACATAGCTTGTATTTGCTTAACTTACTATAAAAAAAGAGATATTAAGTGCAATGAATCGAGTGTGGTGGGGCCGGGAGGGCCGGGGTTATGGGAGGGAGAAGCACGGAGAGGAGAGGTGGAGATACCCCGATGCTGCTCCAGGCCAGGGCACAGGGCCGTCAGCTGGGGCCATGCAGGGGCATTCTCCAGTCATGTCCAGGCTCGGGCTCAGACTTTTATTCAGCCACACCAAGAGACAGGCCTCATGCTGCTGACCCACAAGGGGAAGTCTAGGTCTCAAAGGTCATGGGACCAAAGGCCAGGGAGTGGGGTGCACTGGGAAGGGTGGTGGTGACATGTGGCCCGGCCAGTGGGACTGACTGCACGAAGCAGGAAGCAAAAGGAAAAGTGACGGGAAGGAGGCGCAGGGTGAGGGGGCATCGGGGTGCTGGTAATGATCTGATTCCTGATCTGGGTGCTCACACAGATGCGCTCAGGTAGTGAAAACTCACTGAGCCGCATGCTTGCTGTTCGTGCCCTTTTCTGCAGGTATATGACACTTTAATGAAAAGTTGTTTAAAAAAGTAAAGAGACTGAATGTACTTAATTGCAAACTTCCATGTTTTGAGATTGACAATTTAAAAACAATGGATTAATGTATATCATTGGGATTTCTTAAAGAACGATTGTGCTTTTTTTTTTTTCCAATATAGTTTAAATAAGTTAATACACTCACTTATCTAAAAAAAAAGGGAGAGAGAGAGTCTGGGGCACATGCCTTCCCCATCCAGGCCTCCACAGGTCATTACTTCCACAGGTTTTTTTCTTTACCATTGATATTTAGGCAGTTGGCCACTGCTGCCACAGAACAGGGAAAGGATTTAAAAAAATACAGTTTGCTGGGATCTCAGATACTTTCAAAGGAAATACGGGCTGATTTCATCGTGTTAAATCATGAGCTATAAGACTCAGGAATGACAGCATCTTAAACGCTCAACAGTTCCCAGAGCGGGTCCTCAGGCTGACACGCCCACTTCACCTTGTCCTGTCGGTCCAGGGCACAGCCCTCCTGGATGAGCGCCGCGATGACCTCCGTGTTCCCCACCACCGTGGCCCGGTGCAAGGCGGTCTGATCCCCCTGCAGAGTGAGGTAGAGGCAGGAACAGCAGTCAGATCTCCCTACCTGCCCCATTCACTCACTCCACTCTGAAACAAGGACACCTCCTGACCCACAGGGAGCAGACTGGTCACCAGGGGCGAGGCGGGCATTTTGGTCTAGTTAGTAGACAGTGCATGCTGAGCAGAGCAACTGTGTTCACCAACTCACTGGGAACCTTAAGCCAACCTCAGAAGCACCCTTGGCTGCAAAGCTGACCTCAGAATCAGGGTCAGGCCCTCACCCGCCACCCCAGGGGATGGCAGTGTTCAGCGGGACTGGGACTGTCACATCTGTGAAGAGCATGTCTGAAAGCTGGACTGTGTGTGCTGTGCAATTAAACCAGCAATGCCCGGAATCTTTACTCCCCATTGCGTCGTCCAGCCCCTGCTTTCAGAGGATCGCTCTCCAGCTGTGTCAGTCAGCAGCGCTCATGATTCGATGACGGGTGTATAATTTGCTGATTGACTTGTACTGGCCAAGAGCAGTGTAGGGTTCACACTGTGTCTCCAGGGACTGCCAGCTATCACTGCATATCTCTAAGAAGCCCCTTCTGATATTTCATGACAACATCCTCACTGATTTATGCTGCATTTGACCCTTTCTCTGTGATCAGACTCCTGGGATTGCTGACCTCTTTTCCCATCAGGGCGCCAAGGGGAACTTGACTCTTTCCCCTAATTGTAGCTGTGAGGAGGACTAAAGGCTCCTAGAGGTCAGATGGTCAAGACTGTGACGAGGGTTCTGAAGTCTCTAAGAGCACACCTTATCTCTGACACGTGCTCTGGAAGTCAAGTTGAGACAAATCAAGTCCAGCCTGTGGTCCACGCTCGATGGGGAGATGGGTGAACAGTGTGGGACATGGGGGTCAGGAGATTCGAGTCGTGCACAGCCTTTGGGGACACCTGTCACCTCGCTGGGCCTCAGGGTCTCCGCCTGTGAAAGGAAGGGTGCATGATCCGCAAGCTCTCCCTTCCCTTCTTGGGCTCTATGATTTGGTTGGTAAGAGTTTTGCATAAACAAAGTTTCCTGGCGGAACACCAGAGGGGCCAAGGACACTCTGGGGTACCCCTGGACCTCAGTCCAAGAGAGGAAAGAGAGATTATTATGAGAGAGAAAACCTGGAGCCTTTTCAAAGAGGGAGGCGCCGCTATCTATAAATACCCTTAATGGAATGCTGAGTCTACTTACTAAACTCCCTGGAATCCATAACAAACAACAATGCACATTAAAGGCAGTTAGTCGAAAACACAGTTCTGGGGATGGATGGTGGTGATGGCTGCAGAACAATGTAAATGTACTTAATGCCACCGAACTGTACAGTTAAAATGGCAAATTTCATGTTTTATGCATTTTATCGCAATAAAAAAAGCACTTAACATTATTGAAAACTCTAATTCACTTTCTTAAAATTAAAAATCTTCCCTTAAAAATCCACGAGGGGAAGTGATTTTTATTTGCCTCCTTATATTTTTTAATACTTTCCGATTTTTTATGTTTAATACATAATTTTTAGCATCAGGAAAAACTGCTATTTCTTAAAAGTCTAAGCTGTAACACTCTACCAGTAATGGAACCGTCCATGTCTCAGAATCTTTTCTCACTGTTCATTAGTAGAATTTAAGGGATTTCTGCAGTGATAGCTCAGGACGTCCTGGCCCGTGACCATGATTTCATCCACTGTCTGCAGCATTTCTAGCACCAGCCCTCCTCTCGGCATCCTGGGCTATTATTCTCAGTAAAAAATTACGTTTAGACTTGGTTTCCTTCTCATCCACCTTCCCAGACCCTTTATTCAAAGAAGACCCTCAGGTGCCATGCAGTCAAAAGAAGAACGTGGCCACTGGATCAGTGGCTGCAGGAGGTGTGCTGAGCGCCACACGTCCATTTCAAACATCTTAGGAAGTATTTCCAGATTAGTACACTTAATGCCCAAACAAGCAATCATATGAGAAACTAGTTGTCCAAGTCTTAACTTCTCAAAACTTCTGTAAGAATTTCTACGACTGTCCATTTCCCTATCAGAATGATGATGGGTTTTCCCAAAATGGACCTCAAATGCAATTCATTACTACTGACCTGATGAGAAAGATGGCGCTCTGTTCTCAGCACGAAGGGCGAGACAGCAGCTCACTCCTTCAGGGTAAACCCTGACTTGGTCAGATTGCTAACGGTTCAAAGCCTTTTAATGTTCCCACACACTGCCTGCACTCCAACTAGCACTCCATGGACCAATCAGAACAAGCTTTCTACATAACGAAACTTAACCGTCCCATCCATGCTGTGCACAGAGTGAGCAACAAGCCCGAACACACGGGTCACGTCAGCCGCTCCCATGTCCAAGCCATCGCACAGACGGCCTCTGCTGGTTAGGGCCCAGTCCAACCCAGACTCGCTTTAGGTCAAACGCTTTATCGTGTTTCACAAGCTGCCACTAAATCATGCTTTGAGGCAGCTTGGGAGACAGAATGTCACGATTATTTAGTACGTGCTTTCGGCATGAATCTACTGTATTTATGCCCCTTGAGACAACTCTCCCTCGTGAAACTCGAGCTGGATGAAGAAGCTAAATCTAACATCTACTTCAGCCCTGAGGAGTCCATTTCCAGATGGATCATCAAGACTCACTGAGCTCTAAGGACCTGCCTGATGCTGGTGAGAATACAAACTGTCCCCCGCCAACGGGCACAGGTGTCTCCTGCGGTTCCCCTTTCCCTGCAGAGACCTTGCAGCTGCACTGTGTGTTTCCAGGCCACAGCTCCCCGTCCATCTTTCCTCCCCTCGCTCAGGGCCTGGGTCCTTGCCTCATCAGTAGGATAAACACTGCTGGGAAGGCCCAAGTCAGCCTTCCCCCGCCACACGCTGCCGTTTGGCTGGGCCACGAGCTTCACTGACACTAGATGGGTGGTTCTGGAGACTGAATGGGACACTTTACCTGGTGTATAAGAACCAGCCACCCTCAAGTTACCAAGATGAGAACTGAAGGCTCTGAGAGACATGAAATACTTAAGCAAAGGGCGCCTCGGGCTGTCTGCCTCAGAGCCACTCTTCCCCAGAAGATGGCACAAATAATGGGACACCTGAGACCCTCGAATGACACGTGGTCAATTACCTGTGAATCAACTTTGCCTCCTATAAAACTAAAATTTACTGTTAAAATATGACACAGAAAAACAAAATGTGTCCTCAATAAATACTTATTAACAGACCCAAGAAGCAACTTTGACATAATCCTTATTTCTATATGATCTAAATTAACCATGAAATTCTCAACTTTGGGGGGGAAAAAAGCACTGGGAAAAGTAAAGTACTCTCAACAGCATTTACTCAGTGAATATTTGCTGACCGTCTACTATGCTCCAAGTGCCATGGCATCTAATTCTCTCATTTTATTGATAAAAAAACCCCAAGGCCCAGCACAGTTCAGTGCCCACTCTAGGATAACCAGCTAGTTCAGGGGAGCGTGGTTGGGCCAGAATTCAAATTGTCAAGGCTCTTTGCACTCAATCCAAGCTGTTTCCAACCTGTGACATCAATTCACCTTAGGACAGGCCTCATAAAAGATCAGGTGCCTCTGTGGGGTCGGGGCAGCCTCTTTATGGCATCATCAAGCTAAGAGCTTTAGCACGGTGCCTTGGCCGCTATAGGTACCCAAGAAGTATTTGTTGAATGATTTACTACAAAGAAGCAGAAGGAAAAATGCTGCCGCTGGAAACTTGAAGAGCCAGCAACCTCGCCGTTTGGCACTTTGATGTGGAACATGCTGACCGTCTGCAAAGTGCATAAACCGCCAGCTCTCAATTTTTCTAAGAGAGCAGTGTTTCTCACTTTGGGATTTTAAGAAGTCTGAAATTTCTGAGGTATAATTCTTTGTTCTGAAATACTTGTAGTTTTCTCTCCTACATGATGAAAAAGAGCGAGCACATGTGGGCAGATTCCAAAGCTAAGCTCACGGAAGAAACCCCAGGCATGCAAAGGTGGAATGTGCTCCTCTTCAGGAGGGCTCCCTCCCAGGTGGCACAGGCAGACACGCTGCAAGGAAGCTCAAGACAGGGTGGGTGTGCAAAGCAAGCTGCTGACCTCTTTTTCTCTCTCTGATCTTCTGGGGCTCTTCCTAGCCTTTCTTCTCGGGTGTTTCTGATCTTTCTCCTCCTTCATGCCTTTTTCTGTGGCCACAGGGTCCTGGACTATTTCAGAGGTGAGGGCTGTATGATTGCTCACTGACCAATCAGAGATGGCATTGGAGCTCCAACGGTTGTTGACAGGACTGGCAGGAAGCAAGAAGGAATTTGCTCCTGGAGTTGCATATTCTAAAGAACTGGTTTCCACAGGTTCAAATTCATAATAATCCCACTCCAGGCCACTGGAGGTCATTCTTCACCTAATCCTCAGTCTTTACCATGACATAAACAATATCTGCAGAATATGAAGTCAGGAGTAAATTCTTCATCACATTAACATTCTCTATTTTTATCCATCATCCAAGACAGGTAACTTCTGAAATGGGTTTTTCCAGTAATTAATCTCCCAGCTTCTTCAAAGAACACCCATAAAGAGTTTTCTCCTCAAATTCTTGCATAAGTTTCAAGGCCGATCGTCAACAAGCATGATAAATACACAGAAGACAGATACGAACTATATTCTGGCAGGTGCATTACTTCAGAACTAGCGAAGGTCAATTCCACCTTCTCCATTCCCAACTGTTTTTACACTGTTTTGGCACTGTGTTCTTATTTTGTGTTGTTTTGAATTAACTTATCTGGGAGAAGCAATGTACGCATTGCCTGTTTAGGGCAGAGAAGATGCAAGAAAATAAAGAACTCCAATAAATGAAAGAGGGTGTTCCTGCCTAAAAGTGGAGCTGGCTTTCCTTCTGCTGCCATGTTTCACCCTGGCGACCTATGAGAACTTCTGCCTATTTTACTCCCAACCTTGTCTGATAAAACGGCAGCAGGTCTAGGAAGTTCACACGGCCTTTGCTGCATGAGAACACTGATACTCGGAGCTCAGGGCCTGAGGCAGGAGTACTGGGTTGGGATGGGGTAGCAGGCCTGCCATCGCAGCCTTGCCACCGTGGCAAGCAAGGGCTTTAATTATGCAAAGAGAAGACCAGATGCCTCCCAACATGTTTGCACCAGCAACTCAATGCCCCACCTTTTCTGTGGTCAGACTCTCTTCTCTCTCCCTGTATTTTTGCTCCTGTCATCTAAGAATATGATATAATCATGAATGTTATGATGGCTACAATGCAGGAAAACAAAAAAGTATTATGACCCAAGGTAGAAATCAACAGCTTAAAGCTAAATCAGCATCTTTTCAAAATAACATCCTTGATGGCCCAACAGCTTCCAAATATAACCAGAGGTTTATGAGTGACACTGGACAGCCTTCTGCCCACGCATAAAACAATGACATAGTCCTTCTCACTTGTGTGTTTGCCAAGTTTTAGGACATTACACAGAGACCCAAAGAAACTAAAGCACTTCGGTAACCCAAAGCCTACACACCCGAGGGTCTGAAATTTGACAACGCTCTGTAACTAGTTATTAAAGGTAAATCTGGAAGAGGTTATGATAAGTGCAAATGCTCCAAGATTCCGTGTTCCTCACAAAAGTTCTTATTTCTTAGAGTCCTACCACACAAATTAGAATTAGAAACAGCTTCTGAAAATAGTTTCCAATTATGGGACTGTTTCCTAATAGCTCGTTGGAGGACAACTGACATAATCCTGTCTACATCCCCTTCTTAGAGAATCCACCTTTTCCCAAGACCCAATGGGGCCGCCCTGTGCACGATGGGACCCACCCAGCCACTGCCAATTGACTCAGGAATGGATTCTCGACCCCAGAGGAGCCAGTCGGAGTCTCTCTCTAGATAATTTGAAGGAAGAGAGTCAGAGACTGAATAATGAGTCTGAATAATGGCGTGGTACCAGAGTGAACTCTGTCTGGATGTCTCCTTTTTCTTGGATTCCATGAGATCAGTGTCCTTTTTCTCCTATGAATAGGTCCTTTTTAACTAAATGTACATTGGCTAAGAAAAATCAAGACAAGAAAAGGAAAAAATTAAGCTTTTTAGCCCCACCTTTTCTCCAATGGTAAGCTTGGTCCCTGACACACATTTCCAGCAGGACTTGCCCACACTCACTCGTGTGTGTGGTGTGTGCATGATGTACTCCTTGATACTGAGACAGGACACAGGAAAAATGCCCTTCAAGATTCTGCACTTGAATAACATTAGAATAGGAAATGAACCATGATGGGAAAACTACCCCCTACTCCCAAATTCTAACTTACTACAGAGAATGGGTCCCAGAGGAGGTGTTCAGGAGTAAGTGCTTCCTACGACGGCTACTACCCTCGCACCTGATAGTGGGTTACATGTTATACTGTGGATTTCCAGGCAGACAAGCTCCCCTCCCATAGAATGATGGATTCTACTCACATCATCCTGGACATCGAGGTCACAACCAGCCTTCAGCAAGATCTGGACCACAGAGAGATGGCCCTTATTGGCAGCAAGATGCAGGGGGGTCCGGCCATGCTGTTAATACAAAGCAAACACTGATTTTAGAACAAGACATCAAAACCACTCCCCTGGATGGGGGAGGGGGCCTAGACCAAGTTTTGCACAGTGGCGCTCGCCGCTCCCCTTTGGTTTGGCAAGAAATTCTCATGGATTTACCCAAATTCAAGTTTGTCTCAATTAACCTTGGCTATTGACATTGTAAAAAATGAACAAGATATGCTTAAAATGTGAAGATTTCCTTTAATGCATAATTTCTACTCCCCACTCATCAAACTAGCAAGTAGAAAAAAGAGGGGTTTCATGTCATCTCATTTTCCCACTGGTGCTAATACTCAGGGATGACGAAGTGGCCACAGTGAATCCGATGGGGCAAGACATGGGAGAACAGCAAAAGGTCAAGCTAATCCACCCTAGAAGAATCTGGTTAGCAATTACTGAAAATTAAAAGTGCTGGCCAAACTGATCAGAAAAGGTTCTCCCTCTTCTTAAAAACAAATGTTATGGGGCTGGCCCGGTGACGCAGTGGTTAAGTTTGCGTGCTCCACTTTGGCAGTCCGGGATTCACAGGTTTGGATCCCAGGTGTGGACCTAGCACCGCTCGTCAAGCCATGCTGTAGTGGCATCCCACATAAAAAAACAGAGGAAGATTGCACAGATCTTAGCTCAGCAACAATCTTCCTCACACACATAAAACAAACCAAATTTTATAATTAAAAAATATTTCAGCCATTCAAAAATATAAATAATATTTTAAAATGTACATACCCACCAATCATTTTAAGAAAACAGTAGAGAAATCACAGCCGTTCCTGGTGAACCCCTCCCAGATCTCATTTCCTCTCCGACCCCAGAGGTCACCACTCTTAAATTTGGTATTCAGCATTTCTTTGCCTTTTTATTATACTTTACTATGTTCGTAGCCATAAACAATATATAAACATTGTTTTGCTTGTTTTCAAAGCTTACATAAATGGTATCAAACTGTACAATATAGTTTGGCAATGTTTTTGGTCCAATATTATATTTTTGAGATTTTTTTCATATTGTCGCATGTAGTTTCAGTTCATTTATTCATTACTGGCCCATTCCCCTACTGCTGGGCATCCAGGCTGTTCCCAGTGGTTTGCAGAACAGGTTTGTGTGCACATCTCCTTGTGCACCTGAGAAGGCGTCTTAGCCCTGTTGTCGGGTCAGAGACAACCTTCCTCTCAAATGCCCCTAAGCCTGTGGGCTCCTAAGGTATGACACTGAGGGTGACACCCAGAATAATTCTCTTCAGAGTAAATCAGCTTCTATCCAGAGAACTGACCTTGCAAAACTCTGAGTTTCCCAAATTCTAAAGGAGACATGATGTTTCCTTTGCTTTTTCAACCTCAAGTTCACTGTGGAGAAACATTTCCACCCTCTGCTCCACCATCATTTCACCAGGGGCCCCCCATGCTGAAACCCACCCCCGAGGAAAAGGGGTGTGTTTCTTAGCATCTAGATAAAACTTCTCAAAGACCTTTACTGATATTCTAGCAGGAGAAACCAGTTTGGGATCTCAATAAAGTGCCAGTGCGCCATGGGCAACTAATCGTGGAGGAAAACAGAGATAGCAGACGATAAAGGATCTCAATTTCTATCCATGAAATGCAATCAAAGCACTAGAACGAATCTGGAAAGAAAGAGGTCAGAGCTCACTTTAAAATTAGAATTCTTAATTAAGAAAAAAGCTACTCCCAAGAAAGCGGGCTATAAAAAGCCTTCATAAAAAGGCGAGCTCTGAGATGAGATGAAGGAGTGACCTTGCCTGGCTGACAATTGTGATCGGGACATGCTACTTAACCTTGATTCTTTAAATGAAACGTCCGCAGTTGATCAGACGGAGCAAAATAACCGGGTTCCACTCACTGGGCCTGATCCCAGGCTCCATCTGTCATCAGGCGTCCTTGTCAAGGACAAAGGATAAGTGCTTCTCAAAGTCGCTGAGGTATTCTGAAACACGGGGAAGTTTGTCACGCTTGTGAGGAGAAGGATGTGTGTGCTGTGAGCAAGGCTGACAGGACGGTGGGACACACGTGTTTCTGAGCAACTGGAAAATACAGACCATGATGGGGAGACGTTGCCCGGAGACAGAGAGTCTGGAAAGAGGCCACAGGCCAAGAAGTCACCGAGCGTGCCAGGTCAGGGGAGCCCCGAGGAACATCCTTGTCAGCAACCAGATATTGCTGGTTGGAAGCTGAGGCCCAAGGGTACAAAAGAGTTTGCCCAAGGGAACAAATAATTAGCAGGTAGGAGAAGGAAGTCCACAGAGACGTCCCTGTGTGCCTGCTGCGGTGCTGCTGTGGTTCCTGCCAGGTCACGTCTGCGAGGGCGCTTTAGAAACTAGACATTACCAACAAGAGGGCCCTGGACTGGAGGCACCTGCCCATCCGAAGTTAGCAGAGAAGCCCCTCTGTGGAGAAAGGAGAGGCCAGAGGCGCTGGACTCAGACAAGCCCACTCCAAATCCCAGCTCTGACTATAACACCCATGTGATTTCGTGCCCCACACACCTCAGTGTTGTCTCAACTGTAAAACAGGAAGAGCTGCCTCTACTTACCCCACGGGCTTGAAATAGGATTGACGAGCTAACATCTGCCACCTAACACGGGTCTCCTTTCCCTCCAACTGTCCTCAGCCCTCCCCCCTGAAGACACCCCAACTGCTCGCTCTCCTTGACACCCCGCACCTTTGTCTGAGCAAAGGCCAGTGAGTTGTCTTCAATGGCAAACAGACCTGGGCGAAGAGCTGGATCTCGGACCAGGCGGGTGGCCAGATGAGCCCGAGCTGGAGGGCTGCGGTTCCCACCAGCCAGTCCCGGCCCGCTCGCCCACTTCAATGTTTGTAATACAGTCCAAGGTTCTCTATCTGCATGGCTCTGCTGGAAGGGCCTTCTTTACCGGAAACACCCTTCCCCAAACTGTGCCTTCTCCGCGTCTCCAGGCAGCAGCGTTGCCAGCCTCGTGTTCTCCACTCCCACAGCACTTCGTCCCCAGCTCAGGAAATCACTAAAGTCTGTTTTGAGTGTCACCCTGGGTGCTGGCTTCTCCTTCCAACTAGGCGGTGACCTCCCTGAGGGCAGGACTATGCCTCCGTGAATGATGAACGAGTTGACTCTGGGGTGGTGTGGGGGCCACGTCAGAGACGTCGCCGTGTGCCTCAAACACAGGGCAGGCTGGGGCTACCAGAGACGTGGGAGCAAATTCCACAGTTCCAGCCTTGACCTCAGAGAAACGAAGAGCCTGGGATGGTGCAGACTGCAGACTCTGGGACGTCTCCGCTCCTCAGAGGACGTGCAGACATCCTGAGGGCTTCACGAGCATTTGCGCAGCTGCAACAGTGACACCGGGGCTTCTCTGAGGGGGTCAGTGTCCCCCTCAGACGTCTGGCTCCTCTTCTGGCTCTGGTAAAACTACAGCAGTAGCAAAGGCAGTAGTAGCCAGTTTCCCAGTGAACCTGAAGCTGTCGACTCCTACCCCCTGGGCTTTCCTAACATAAGACCGACCCTCTTACATACACACACACACACACCACTCACCAAAGAAGCAGAAATGTACTTGGTTTTCCAGAACATTCTGTAGTGAAAAGCAACAAAAGTAGAGCCATTCAAGGGAGTAGCTACTCCCGCCCCGCACACAGGGAAACCCCAAAGTCATGCCTGACAAGCAGGGAAGGCTGCAACCCCCCTAAGTGTGAGGGGGCAAACAGAATGAGCTCTTTGAATGACTTAGTCTCAAGGATGCAACTGCTCTCATCTCCATGCCCCTAGAATTGGCCAGTGCAAGAAATGGAAACAGGAGAAAAACTGTGTACTATGAATGATAAGAGGAAGAAGTTGTTTTTTTGGTTTTGTTTTTTTCTGAGGAAGATTAGCCCTGAGCTAACTACTGCCAATCCTCCTCTTTTTTTGCTGAGGATGACTGGCCCTGAGCTAACATCCATGCCCATCTTCCTCTACTGTATACGTGGGACGCCTACCACAGCATGGCTTTTGCCAAAAGGTGCCATGTCCACACCTGGGATCTGAACCGGCGAAATTAACCACTGCGCCACGGGGCCGGCCCCCAAGGAAGAAGAAGTTTTTGAAGCAATAATTTATCCTGGGCTCTTCTGAAGTCAAAGACCAATTCAACCCAACTCAACCCAGGCCCTGGTGAGCCCAGGGGGACCAATATTAATGAGGACAAGAGCAAGAGATGGCAGCAGCTAACATTTACAGGGACTTATTACATAGCAGGCACGATCTTAAGAATTTTCCACGTATTAGCTCATTCAGGCCTCCGATGAGATAGGTCCTATTATCAAGCCATTTTACAGATGAGGAACCTGAGGCATGGAGAGACTCTGTCACTTGTTCCACGTCATACAGCAGGAAATTTGAGTCTGGATTCACCCCGACACCGTCCGACCCCAGCCCCCGTACTGACACAACTCTACCTGCGGCCCGCTCGCTGAGGGGCGAGGCTGCCCCTGGCAGAGGGGGCTCCATATCTCTCTCTCAGGAAGCTCCCAAGACTCCCAGAGGCTGACCTTTAGGGCTGCTTGGAAAGAACCCGGTTTCCTCAGAATCTCAAGGACAAGGAGAGAGGTTTCCCATTCTCACTGCACATCTGAATCAGCTGGGGAGGTGGTTCAGTTTGTTTATCCCCCTACACTGACACTGGGACCCTCCTCCAGAGTTTTTCACTCAGCTCTTCCTGGTGGGGCCAAGGCATCAGTTGCTGGACACCCTCCCCAGGTGGGCTGAGAACCACAGGGTGAAGATGACGGGGGGCCAGGAGGATCCTCTGCAGAGCAGCTAGAGGCCCACAGGCAAAACCCGCTGCGTTGGGCCAGTCCCAGCAAGTCCTTCCTTTGCTACATTCTTCATGATGCTCTCGTCCCCACCTGTTGGTTCAAAACACTAAAATACTGCATCATCACAACCCAGAGCTTCCCGTAACTTAGGAGTATACAAGCAATATAATGGCATTACTAGAACTTTGGAAAATA